GTGGTCTCCGGGGAATGAACTCCCCATTTTGCTGAGCCAGCTGAAGGATTATTGGGGGCGTTTCCAGTTTTTGATAATGACAAATGCACTTGTTACAAACAATCAGGTTTTGGTACACACACAAGTTTCATTTCATTTTGCAATTATTTTTGCTAATATTTTAATATTGCAAATACTACAGCAATGCACAATTATTATACCAAATCATTCATCCCATTAAAGGAGGTAATAGCCCCAGCTGACATTGTTTTAAGAAATCAGTCAAGAACATCAACTCGATAACAAGTAAAGATCAGTAAGTGTTTTACCTTAAACACTTAAAACGGGGCATTTGTGAATCTAAGTGCGCACTGCCTGAGTGTTGTAGGGGTTTGTGGAAATCAGATAATGTCACTCATGATTCCATGTGCTCATTTTCAAATGCACCTGACCTGTACAGAAACGGGGTAAGAGACAGCATGCGCCTGTTTTCTCTTCAGCACTAACGCATCCTGGTGTCCTCCAGGGGCGAGAGGCGAGATCTGTGCCTATTCTCACTCTGATTCATCATACGACTGTCTAGGCAAGTCTAATCTTTCCTTGAAGTGGCATCTGGCTTTCGGCAAGTTCTTGCTTAACTGAATGAATTAAATAGACTAAATGGTGTTTCGCTTGGTCACAGGCACCCCAGGATGTCTTCATGAAAGGTAAACAGGGACGGTGCACAGCAGGCATCGCGCACCTGCCTCATGGCTGGTTCCCTCTGTATTGTTCTTAAGTCTGTAGTAATGAATTTTTGTCCTCTTCTGAGGGTGAGAGGATCTCTTATTAGCTTTTGGATTTGGTGTAACTGGGTTTTGCTTCTACTCCTCCTCTGGCAGCAATGGATCTTTGAACACTGTGGGTTCAGGGTTGGCTGCTCTTGTGTTCCAGAAGGGATATGGGTGGGGTTTTGTGCCCATCCCCCAACAACAGCTGGACACCTGACTGCCCGAGGGGTTTCTCTCAAGTGTCTTTGCCTCCATCTTTCTTTCTTTCTTTTTAAATATTTTATTTACTTATTCATGAGAGACACACAGAGAGAAGCAGAGACACAGGCAGAGGGAGAAGCAGGCTCCCTGCAGGGAGCCTGATGCTGGAACCCAGGACCCCGGGATCACGCCCTGAGCCGAAGGTAGATGCTCAACCACTGAGCCACCCAGGTGCCCCGTGCCTCCATCTTTCTTATGAACAATTTCTCATGGAAGTTTATGGAAAAGAACTCGTGAATGAATGTAAACTTTTTGTATCTGAGGCCTCACGCTATTTCAGACTGACATGCCAGCCCACACTTGGCCTTTACAGATTCATTAAAATTTCAACTTATTTCCTCTTGCCTTCTTGTATGGTGGCCACCTTTCTCCATTGCTCCTATCTTTGGGGGCGCTCAATTCTCTTTGGAATTCGGTTTACTTGGTTGATTTGCAACCTTAGCCACCTGATAGGCTTAAGAAGACTTATGATTTTGTAGACTATCCAGTCTGTTCTCATCAGTATGCTTGGGAATGGTGCTCTTTGTAGCTTTGTTTATTCTAAGCCTATCCCACACATCTTTACTGAATACATACTGTGCGCCAGGCATGTTCTAGGTGTTGCGGACAGAGGTACACAAAACAGATCTGATCTTAGTAAATTTATGTTCGACCGAAGGGAAGCAATATATATATAGTGTTACATATTGTCATGTTAGGTGGTGATAAGTTCTGTGAAGAACACTTAAGCAGATGACAGATGAGCCAGTGATGTGCATACACCGGTATTTCTCCTCCTATAGACAGTCTGTACTTCACTGCCCGTTTTTTCTTCTCCTCGTGATGTGGTTTTAGCATGCTGGTGAGGTTTAGTTTTGAAATGTTGGTGCGGTCAGGAGCCAACGGCCAAGAAAGGAACTCTTGAGACGTCTTTGGTGCAAAAAGGTGATTTTATTAAAGCAAGGGAACAGAACCCCTGCGCGGAAGAGCTGCTGCCCTGGGGTTGTGAAGAGTCGCTGATTATAGACTTGGGAGTTGGGGGAGGTGAGGAAAAAGGGAGGTGGACAAAAGGACTGTGATATACTCAAGATTTACATGAAAGCAGAGGCCTGGCTACTGCTGAGTTAAGGTGGTTTTTCCTTCTAGTGAGACAGTTGGGGGCTTCCTGGAGGAATGTTGTACTTTTCCTATTAAAGTCCTTGTCAATAGGCTGCAGGTGTTAAAGAAACTTAACTTTCTTTACATTTCCTTTTTTTTTTTTTTAAAGATTTTATTTATTCATGAGAGACACACAGAGAGAGGCAGAGACATAGAAGAGGGAGAAGCAGGCTCCATGCAAGGAGCCCGACGTGGGACTTGATCCCGGGTCTCCAGGATCATGCCCTGGGCTAAAGGCAGGTGCCAAACCGCTGAGCCACCCAGGGATCCCTGTTTACATTTCCTTATGCTCTGTTTCCCACATCACTCACGGAAGGGAGGGTGATGTTAGGACTCCAGGAAATTGAGTTATGGGTCTCTAAAAATTAGGCTATTGATAAGAATGCTTTTTCCCAGAACACCTGCGGGGCTCAGTTGGTTAAGCGTCTGCCTTCAGCTCAGGTCATGATTTCAGGAGTCCTGGGATCGAGTCCTACATTGGGGTCCCTGCTCAGTAGTGAGTCTGCTTCTCCCTCTGCCCCTCCTTCCCACGCATGCTCTCTCTCTAGCTTGCAATCTCTCTCTCAAATTAATAAATAAAACCTTTAAAAAAAAAGAATGCTCTTTCCCTGTATATCACTAAGACATTGGTAAACTGATAGAGACTCATATTCTGCAGGACTGTGATCTTTATCAGTTAATCATTTGATTTTTTCCCTTCCCTTAGTTTTGGGGCATCGAGAAGTACCTGAGGAATGCCACACTTATCTCACAGTGGGTGTTGTGTGTGTGAGGTGTCTGTCATCTTGTGCTTTGTGCCCAGCTGCCTTCTGCTCCCTTATCACTTGGGGGATCTCTATGTTGTAGAGTATATAATACCCGGCATCCAATATGTAACTTGGTAAGTAAGCTTTCAGCTCCAAATAGTAATCATCATTCCCATCAGAAGGGCTATGACTGTTCCTCATAAACATGCCAGGTGTTCTGTGTAGGGCCAAACCAATACTGAGACAGGGAAACTGAAGGGACCCCATTTTGCTCCTTTTCCTGCTTCTGTTCTTGCTAGGACCTGCACCCCCGCCTTACACATGCCTTAATGTATGTCCTCTTTGTTAAGATCAAGAAGTTAATGATTTCCTTGGAGACCTCCAGCACAAAAGATAACATCCAAGGACTGACTAGCCAGGGTCATCACGTAAATCTTCCAAGACCCTGGGGCTGCAGATACCTCGATGCCAAGATCCCTGGCTCCAGGGCATAAGTGACTGACGGAGGACACTTGAGTTCTGGTCCTTGTTTGGACCAATCCTGGAATGCCTGAGACATGCACACCAGACCACAATCCTCAATAAAAACCCCAACCCTGAGCAAAGGACGGACTCTCTCTTCCTAAGTCTCCCAGACACTCCATCTGCTATGCTCTATCACTTATGCTATTTATTTTTTAAAGATTTTATTTATTCACTCATGAGAGACAGAGAGAAAGGCAGAGATATAGGCAGAGGGACAGGCAACCTTTCTGCAGAAAGTGTGATGTGGGACTCCACCTCAGGACCCCGGGATCACAACCTGAGCGGAAGGCAGACAGATATTCAACCACTGAGCCCCCCAGGCACCCTTCACTTATGCTATTTAATAAACTTTGCTCTCACTTCCTCTCAGCTAGAGTTTTATTTCTATCCTGCACAAAACCAAGGACCCTCTTGGCTGGTCCGGCAGGACTCCCTCCGGGTCCTGGGACCGGCCAGCGTGCATGAGTGTCACAGGGGGACACAGAGTACAAGAGTATATGCTTCTGACTCAACAGAAGGAAGAACTTTGGGTCACAGCCCTCTTCAACAGTGACTTACTGTTCTGTTAGGTAATAAATTTCCCTTCCTTGGAAAAGGTCCAACCCTGGGTTTATCTGAGTCCACATCCTTGCAAACTTCCAACTTCCTCTTAGGGTATCTACCCGGACAGGCTGAGTGAGCATTTCCTGCTTCTAAAAGTAGGAAAGACGCAGCCAAAGGCTTTTCCAGGGCTCCCTCATGCTGTCGGGCACTGATTATCTGTAGCGCCCACTGCACCGACAGAGGAGCAAGCCAGGCTTTCTGGAGAAGAGGACTGACCTGACCAAGGGCACAGCTAGGAGGGGGCGGGCGAGTCGGGCTTGGAGCCGAAGTGAACCTGACCTCGCCCTGCACCACCCAGCCTCGGGCGGCAGTTCTGGGGAAGCACCCACCTTCCTCCGCGACTTTAAGCCCCTCCGTGACTGGCAGCCGCGGGCACGTCCCGCTGCTCCTCGGGTCTGGATTCACCGGTCCCGACTGAGCCTCAAGACGACTGCGACCTCTCGCTGTCCCGACACCCAAACAGGTACTTGGAGGAAACCGATCTTCGGGCGGTGGAGGCTTCCCATCCACGGCTCGGCTTCAGCTTAATGCAAAAGAAAAAAGAAAAAGCAACAAAGGCGACCAGAGAAAATCGGGCATCCGATGGCGGCAGGTGGGTCCTTCCCCTCGCGCTTCCCCCCTGGCTCCTGCAGGGATGCTGCGCGCTCGGGAGGACCAGGTGAGAAGACCTCGGCCACGCCTCACTCCGTGGGTGGAAGCGGCGGCCGAGCAGCTCCGGCGGGGGCGGGTCCCCACGGCCGAGCGCGCGGGAGCCCACCCCGGCCTGACCCAGCTTCGCCCGGCTCGGCCCCGCAGCGAACTCCCCAGGCCACCGCCGGGAGGGGCGCCGGGCTCCTGCGCACGCGCGGGCGGCGCCGGGGCGGGACTCGAGTGGGCGGAGCCGCTGAGCGAGGCCGCGAGAAGAGAGCGGCGCGGGAGCCCCGGTGGTGGGCGTGCCCTGGATGGGCGTGGCCTGTGGGGGCGTGGCCTGACCGTCACGCGCAGCCCCGCCCCCTCGGCCGCCGTCTGTCTCCCGGAGGCGGCAACCGCTCCCGCTCGGCCCTTCCCGGTTGGCCGGGCCGGCTGCGCCTCGCGTCTCCGCCGACCATGGGGGACCCCAGCAAGCAGGACATCCTGAGCATCTTCAGGCGCCTTCGCTCCGTGCCGACCAACAAGGTAGCGGCCGCCGGGCGTGGAGAGGCTCGCTGGGCGCCCGTGTCCCAGCCCGCGGGCGGCCCCGCTGCCGTAGTGGCCGCGGCGGCGGGAGGAGGAGCCCGCCGGGCCTGTGACACGTCGCACTTGCGGCCGCGGCGCCTCGGCCTCGCCTGGGTCCGGGCCGCGCCGCCCCCAGCCGCCGCCAGCCTCAGCGAGGAGCGGGGAGGGCGCGCACCGGGGCCCCGGGCGCGGCGGGCACCCGGGGGGTCGTGGGGGCGGGACGCGGCAGCATCTGGGGGTCCCTGGGGCCGGGGGCACGCGCTTGTGGTTCCTGACACCGGGCGGGGGGGCGCCCACGGGGCGGCTCCTGGGGGGGCGGAGTGGGCCCCGGGGTTCCTGAGGCAGCTGGGGGCGAGGTCTGGGGCCCCCCACCCAGAGAGCGCTGGGGGGGCGCACCCGGTGGCCCGTGTGAGCGGGGCGGACCTGCAGGCCACCTGTGACCCAGCTGGGGAGCAGCACCGGCCCTGAGACTCCAGCTGGCGGCGCTGGGAGCCCGGGAAAGCCCCTGCGGCCCCCTCTGCGCCCTGGATCCGCCCTCTGGAGGTGCTCTGGGGTGCCTGTTGGAGCCTGGTTGGTCACCTGTGTCCTGATGGCAGCCTCAGTTTCCCTGCCTGATGAGCGGCCGAGTGGCCTCTGCGACGGCTTACAGCTCTTTTCCCTTGCTAAGAAGGCCCGCCACAGACCCTTTCTCTTTCTTCCCCTTGCATCTCTTTGGAAATTGGGGTTTTTCTTTTTCTTTTCTTTTCTTTTCTTTTCTTTTCTTTTCTTTTCTTTTCTTTTCTTTTTTTTTCTCTTTTTTTTTTTGTCTCCAGAGGTTGTTTTCTCTGTGACTTTTACAACTTTTCGCAACTGGCCCGAGATGTTGTGATGACACATCGGGGCTAACGTGACACCCTCCACTGAGGATCACAGGTCACACTGGGGCCTGCAGAGTGCAAAGGGCTGTCAGTGTGTCAGCGTGGACTCTCCCCTCCGCTCCTGTGACAGGAATCTGTCTGGTCCCCACTGTCATCTCCAAAGTGAACAGCTGTTAATGATCATGGTCATGAGCCATGACGTCATGCCATAGGAAGATCCTGAGTTTTATAAAATTTAGAGTTCTTTGTTTTAAGTCTTGGTGGAAGGGAGCCCATACTTTGTACAGACTCAGAAGAGTGAGAGAGCAAAAGAGTTTACTGGAGGTGATGTCGGATGAGTGTAGGAAAGTCAGGAGGAGTAAAGGCTTCAGAAATTCTCTTCGTGCTAATTTCTTTGCTGTTTCCTTGGTTTTTAAGTTTAGATTAACCTGCTTATAGGGAATAGTTGCTATATAGCGAGACAAGATTAGGACCCGCAGTTAGTAGTGTAGAAGTTATATTTTTTTATCTGCTTTAGCTCAGAACCAGGCTGTGTTCTCTTTGAATTCATCAAAGGGAAGGTGCCCTCTCTTAAAGAAGAAGTCATTGTCTTTTTTTTTTAAGATTTTATTTATTTATTTGAGAGAGAGAGAGAGAGTGGGAGAGCATGAGCAGGGGGAGGAGCGGGCTCCCCACTGAGCAGGGCTCGATGCCCAGACTCTGGGATGGTGACCTGAGCTGAAGGCAGACGGTTACCCAACTGAGCCACCAAGGCACCCCAAAGTCATTGTCCTTATGACACTTTTGAGGAACTTGTGTGGGCTCGCTGGTGACTGTGTTACCTTGGGCAGGTTACTCGACCACTTTGTACCTTCTTTACTCCTCTGGAAACGGAGAGAGTGAGGAGGATCTAACCTGGATGGTTATTAGGAGGATTAAATGAGAAAATCCGAGAGAAGCACTTAGAACAGTGTCTACACGTGCTAGTCTTCAATAGCATCGGCCGTTGTTTTGTTAGGATCATTATTATGAACAACACACCTGTGGAAAACTTTATATTCTGGAATAGGATTAATAAAAGCACAGAGCAAAAGTATTTTCCAGTAATGTTGCACAGTCCAGAAGTGTGCTACATTTCTTGATGAAGAATTTTTCATTTGATCCTTAGTAAGAAACCATTATCTCAGATGGTTTCAAAGATGAAAACGAGTTTTAATGTTATGGAGGAGTTGGTGAACAGGAAGCATTTTTTTTCAGAAGGGGCTATAACAGCTATAACAGAGAGCTCTAAGATACACTGGGAAGGTACTTCAAGAGAAACGACGGGGTTTACTTTCAGAATATGTTATCTGGTTTCTTCATCTCATGTGTGATGAATATTTACTCTGGACCAAGGTTTTAACCCAGAAGGTCAGTGTTCCAGTTTGAGAAATCCTTCCTTGTCTCTATGTGTTCCTTAGTTTTATTGCTTGATTGCTTGAGTTCCTCTGTCAACAAGTATTGTTGAGCAGCTGCAGTCCACTGGGCACTGTGCAGAGCAATGAGATCCACGGATGGAGGGGGACAGGCTCCTGCCCTCAGGGAGCCTCACGTCTGGGGGCTGGAAGACAGATGAAGGTCAACCCCCCCAGCCAAACTGCACGAGGGGCAATGTGGTGAGCGGTGAAGAGTGAGCTCTGGGCCAGGCCGCCTGGGGTCCAGTCCCCAAGATACCACTCCTCAGCTGTAATACTAAAACTTCGTAAGTCCTTAGTTTTCTCTAAAATGGAGATGAAAACCGCACTACGTAATTTGCAGAGAATGCAAAATGTGCAAGATGAAAATGCAGGGCCCTTGTTTAAAAAGTGTTGAGAATGTCAGGATGAGACAGCAGAGCATGAAGCAACCACAGGCTTTTCTACATGTGGGGCCCTGGGCAACTGCACAGGTCACACACATGCCCAGAAGCTGGCCTTGATGGGGACAATAATAATACCTCCTTATAGGGGTGTGATGATGGTTCAGTTGGTCAGTAACAGTACCTGACATGGAATAAATTTGCTCAACTCTAGCTGTTGTTTGTCTGGTACTTACTCTCATCATTAGGCAAAGCAAATTGTTAGGCAGAGGCATTTCTTTCTTTTTTTTTTTTTTTTTTTTTGTGGGGGGCGCGGAGGGAGAGGTAGAGAAAGAATCTTAAGCATCGTAGAGCCCGACCGGGGGGGGGGGGGCTCGATCTCATGACCCTGAGCCGAAATCAGCAATCGAGCACCCCAAAAGCATTTGATTTTCATCACCATAACAAGTGCATTCTGCTTAGAAAACCCTATCTCAATTCTGGCGTGGGGTTGCATATCAAAACGAAGCGCCATCCCACTCTTGAAGCTCAGTCTCCTGCTCCAGCATTCGTGAGGGCCACACTGGGATTCCTTAGTGCCTCCTGAGGTCAGGCCCCACAGTTCCCCCTCCCCACCACCCCTACAAACTGTTCCACCACCTGTGTTTGCATGCAGTGAGTGCCTGCTTTGTGCCAGGCTCAGTGTCCAGCTCAGGTGCAGGAGAGGGGGCCCCCGGCCTCTTGGAGTGACATTTGGCAAGTCCTCATCGTAGCTGCTGGGTCAGCCGGGTGCTTGGGTGGCATGTTTAGAAGACCCCCTGCTCCCTTCTCAGCCTTGCGAGCAGACCGCCTCAGGAGTGACTCCCAGTCTTGCCTGGTCTGGGCTGTGCACCATCTCCATGGTCACCTCCCTCCATGGGGCCACTTACTGCAATTTAAGATTCTGTTCTTGAGATTTCATTTGCTTCTTGGACCTTGCCTTATTTATTTATTTATTTTTAACTTTTTGTATCCTCTCCCTGCTTCTTTCAACTTGTAACTAATTGTCTTGCCTATGAGGCTGTGGGCTCCATCCACAAGCTCCATGCCGGCTGACCCTTCCTGGACTACCTTTGCACATCTGCTTTGTGTGTGCCAGTGCACAAATGTTAGTTGAGCGACTGGGGGATTGCAAATGACCTCTTGCAGAGGGACAGCATCATTGGCAGAGTTGGTGATGCTGTTTGGTGCCCCATGGAAGGGGATTCCTTACTCACCTGGCCGTTACCACAAGGCATCTTGATGTCTGTGTCCTTCCCTCCCACTGCTCAGTGAGCTCCAGAAAAGCCAGCATGTGGCCTGGCAGAGGGTAGGGACTCAGCATAGTGTTTGTGGAATCTCTGACAACAGGTAGTTCTGAATACCTGAGTGCCTGCCGTAGTGTCGGGCATACAGCAGGCAGTCAGTAAATGCTGCCATGAATGGACTGGCACCTTCTGTGTCAGTTGTCACCCCGACCCCACTATTCACGCAGGCTTTTCATGTGAGTCACAGTGAGGGGCTTTGGGAAATCTGCTGGTGTTTTCACTTTTGTGTTGCCCTCAGAAGGCCAGAAGCCAGGTCCTCCTTGATGACTAGAGTTGGAACAACCTTCGCATAGGTGGCTCTGTCTACAAAGTGTTTCTAAAATATGGGGCTCTTTTTCTGGGGGGGGAGATGGGGAGAAGAAGTGTTCTCTTATTAGTGCAATGTTTGCTCTTCTGTTGTTCTGACTTTAATTCATTATAAATATGGGTTTCCATGACAGACTCTGTATATTTTAGTTACGCTTTTTTTTTTTTTAATTCATAGAGACACAGCTAGAGAGAGAGGCAGAGACACAGGCAGAGAGAGAAGCAGGCACCATGCAGGAAGCCCGATGTGGGACTCGATCCCGGGTCTCCAGGATCACGCCCTGGGCTGCAGTCAGCGCTAAACCGCTGCGCCACCGGGGCTGCCCGACTCTGTATATTTTAAAGTCATTTTATGCTCCTGTTGCCAGGCGCTATGAGATGAAGAATGTTCGGCCTCAGTCAGTGTTGAGGGAGGAAGGCCCTGGGTGTTATGAGGTTGCTGTCAAGCTGTCAGCTGGGGCTGCCTCTCTGAAGCCTAGGGTTCTCGCTCCCAAGTTTACCCTTGTGGTGCTTCGCCGACCTCTGCTCCTCACTGGCTATTGGATTTGTGGCCTCAGTTCCTCACCACGCGAGGATGTCCACTGGGCTGTGTCCCCCTGACACAGCAGCTTGCTTCCCCCAGAGCCAGTGATCCAAGGGAGGGGGATAGCAAGGAACAGGAAGGAAGCCACAGCAGCTTTTCCAACCTAACCTCTGCCTTATTACTGGTCACAGAGCACCCTGCCCGGGTGAGGGTGGCGGCCACACCTGCCATCCCATTGGCTGGGGTCAGAAGGACCATGTGTGAGCGCTGCCCTCTGGTGGAGAGCCACTGTCTAGAGGGCCACAGGGCCTTGAGCATTCTCAGCAGGGGGACATCCTGGCTTGTGTGTGTCCGGTAGGAGCCCTGTTGATGCTTACTTAACATAAAATCATTTATAGGAGTACCTGAGTGGTTCAGTCGGTTAAGTGTCTGCCTTCAGCTCAGGTCATGATCCCGGGGTCCTGGGATCGAGCCCCATGTCAGGGCTCCCTGCCCATTGGGGAGTCTCCGTCTCCCTGTGCTCCTCCCCCTACCTCATGCTCTCCCTCTCTCTCTCAAACAAATAAATAACATCTTTTTAAAAATATATAATTAAATATGTGATAATACTAAAAGAAATTGAAAGTTGAGGTTTAAAAAAATCTGAGATTTTAAAAAAAGATTTTATTTATTTATTTGAGAGAGAGAGAGAGAGCATGAAAGTAGGGAAGGGAAAGGAAGAGGGAAAAGCAGACTCCCTGCTGAGTGGGGAGCCCCACATGGATCTCAATCCCAGGACCCTGAGATCACGACCTGAGCGGAAGGCAGATCCTTAACTGATGGAGCCACTCAGGTGCCCCTAGGTGAGATAATTTGTAAAAACCAGTTTAAAGGTGTAAAGGTGAAGCAGCTTTCAAGCTCAACCACGATCGTATCCTATAAGATGCTTCGTTTGGCTAATATGGATGAATTAATTAGTAACTGAATTTTGAAATTTTCTTTCAGGTGTGTTTTGATTGTGGTGCCAAGAATCCCAGCTGGGCCAGTATAACCTATGGGGTGTTTCTTTGTATCGACTGCTCAGGGTCACACCGGTCACTGGGCGTTCACTTGAGTTTTATTCGGTGAGTCTTTTTTCATCGTGGGTGGGAGGGATCCTGTTGTTACACAGGTCTTTTTCCCCTTTTTCCCTTCATGTTTGTTTTGACATGAGGTAGGATAAGAGGCCGGCTCTGAGTTATGGGAGATTTGAATCTTTAGAATTAGGTGAACTGGGAAAATGGATCCTTTTCTATTCTATTGCTGTTCTGTAGAGCTCTGTGCCAGGGACCTGAGGCTGTGACGCTGAAGACAGAGTCAGAATGAAGGATTTGAGACATTCTTCCTCTGCCTTTATCACCTTCTAATAACCAGCAGCTCAGAGGAATCTTACTATGACACGCTCGTGACAGAGGGGGTTTGGGGTGCTGTGAGTCCATCACACACCCTATCAGGAAGAGAGCTGATGTAAAGGGCGAGAAGCCCTCATTATAGCATGGGTGTGCTTCCGGCCCCATCCTACAGCCCTGGCTCCTGGGGGTCACTGATCTCACAAACCCTGAATGAATGATTTTTGTACACATTTTAGTGAGAATTTCAAGTGCTTGTAAAAAGAAAGTCTTTCATTTTTTTATCTGCAGACCTGGGCTGCATCGGCTCCTTCTGGAGAGTATGTATCTTCTACTCAGACAGTCTGGCAGTAGCCTAGATGGGGCTTTTGTGTGCACCCCCTTGGACACAGCCCCACAGTCCAGTGGGAGGCTGAAGTGCCCTTGTGTGAAGTAAAAGTAATTAATAAAAGGATCCCTAGGCAGGCTCAGGACTTGGAAGCCCAGCAAGGCCTGCACTTCAGCCCCCGGGGGCCTAGGCCACCGAGCAGCCCTCGTTCTGATCTCCATTACTGCTGACCCCCTCCAACCACTTCACCTAGTTCCCTGTCACTTTTTTCCAGGGGAGGAGCCAGTAGGCAGGCAGGGTATTTGGAATTGTGGCAAGCAGTTTGATTTTATATTATGACCTAAGGAATATTGATACAATGTGATTATTATGAAGAGCATTAGTTCCTGTAAGATAAAATCAGTTATAATTTGTGATGAGATATTTTACATGATGGCATAAAAACTGTGTAGTAAAAATAATAAGATAAATTTTTAAAATATATTAACTTAAAAAACCTTTCCTGTTGTACTTTCATGAGTTCTTTTTTCAGAAATCAGTTCATAGAGGCATGATGAGCTAATAGCTGTATAATTCTATATGTAATGAATTAGAAAACGGAGTTCTTTTGTGCAGTCTTCCTGGTTTCATTTCCTGTCTTTTCTTTTTTCTTAGAGATGTTGGTCCCAGAATATTTTGACTATACTACCCTATCCTGTTCTTGTCTCTTTTTTTAAATGTCGAGGTCTTTATGTGCCAAGGCAAGTTTCTTTCTTTTTTTTAAAAGATTTATTTATTTACTTATTTATTTGAGAGAGAGCGAGCGAGCAGGACAGAGTATGAGCGGGGGTGAGGGGCAGAAGGAGAAGCAGACTCCCTGCTGAGCAGGGAGCCCAATGTGGGGCTTGATCTTTGGACTATGGGATCACGACCTGAGCTGAAGGCAGATGCTTAATCAACTGAGCCAGCCACTCAGGGACACTGGCAAGTTTCTTTTAAGTGTACTTCCCCTGACCCCTGTTCAGCTCCAGACCAGTTGTTACCAGTTAACATAAGGCAATGTGTAACCGGCCATCTTCCTTTGTTCTTCCCCTCTTCCTCTCTGCCAAGTCCCACCCATTATAATCTGGCCCTCCCTTTGCTTCACCACCAAAGCATACCTCCAGTTTCAACCATTCCGGAAATCAGGCGGGTTTCTGACGTGTCCCTGGGTAAGGGAAGGACTGACCAGAAACCTAATGTGGCTAGACAGTGGAGTCTCCTCGGGCTGCTGCAGGTTTAATGACTAACCTTTAAAAAGTCAGATAAATATAACTATGAATCCCAGTGTTTATAAATGATTCAGAAACAACTATTAAAAAATCCCGTGTCACTGGAGGTCAGCAGTATAGGAGTTGGGCAAGAGAAAGCCAAGGATGATAAGGGTACTCAGTAGGGTTTTTGTTTGTAAGAGGTGGAGGTTTGCTCTTTGGATGTTTTTTTTAATTGGTTACCAAAATTACAAACACTAGCCTAATGGGAAAAAAAAAAATGCAAGCAGTCCCAGAGTTCATAAAGAAGTGAAAAGTCCTTCCTCTCGAATCCCTTTCTCTTCTTCTTCTTCTCCTCCTGCCAGACACAAACACACACACACAGACACACACGTTGTGCTCCCCAGGCGCAAACAGATTAGCAGTTTGGCTTATGGAATGTTTATTTAAGTGGAGGTTTGGGGGGTTTTTTAAAAGTGGAATTTCAAGTCAACAACTTTACAACGGAAAAAATTTATGAACTGTTGCTTTTGCCAACCTACAGGGGAAAGGTGGGTTAGGCATCCACGGAAATGGCCAACTGCCACTTGAAGCAGAGTGGATGTAACCGGACTGGCCCCTGCCCACCAGCTGCTGGGGCTTGACCTCTGCGCCTCCGCTCCTGGGCAGCTGGGCCCTACCGTGCCTCTTCCTCCTCCAGCTCTGTTTCTTTTCAAGTTCACTGTTAAGTATTTCATGAGTTTATGAAAGGTGAATGGAAGCTAGTCCTCCCTGCAGTGGGCTGAGGGCAGGAACAGGCTTAACTACAGCATGAACAAGAGGACAAACTGTAAAGTGCCACCCAGGACATGGAAACAGCACCGCATCCACTTCTGTGGAAGATTAGTCAAAGTTGAAAGGAGGAGGAGACATTTGCAATGAACTTCAGAGTTTTGGTGACATTTTGATAATGGAAACAAGGCAGGGAAAAGGAGGTGAGCACTCAGACTTTAAGGAAAGTTATAGAGGCTGGAAAAAGTAAAATATGCAGCAGCTAATTTTTATACGCATAGGAAAAGGAGGAGATAAAGGATTCCAAGGGGGAGATTTGGGTGACATTGTAGAGGGTCTTGATTACGAGGCCAGACCCTGTACTTAACTGCTGAGGGGTTGAGGGGCAAATGCAGGCAGGCTGGCCTGGGCCCTGGATGCAGCAGGTGCCCATAGACATTGGCCAGATAGCACCTGGTGGGCCCAAGTCCCAGCACCATCCTGGACTGCCTCTGGGTGTGCTCCTTCCTACTCTGTGTCTCCTTCCCTTGAAAGAGGGGATGAGAAGACTGATACTCGTTGCAGAGGTTTTCGGGAGGAGAAAGTGGGTAAATCCATATATAAAGGCTGGCATGTGGTGAGCCCCCAGGTAGTGCTGCTGCCGATCAGGGCCAAGTCATCTAAGTGCCTGCCCAGGGGATGCAAGAGGAGAACCGTGTTGTGATGTGAGATAGGAAGGCAACACCTCCCATGGCCTTCTGTTAAGTAGCCAGGCCAGTTATGAACAGCCGGCTGGCTGCCTGGAAGCTGTTCCTGGGCTTGTCTATAAGGAAAAGTCTAGATTAATTGTGGTAAATGGATAAAATTCCATTTAAAATTTTTGATTACATAACTTTGTCATGTTTATTTGGTGTGATTCCTTCTGATTTCTAAAATCTATTTAAATGTTCCACTTAATGTACAGCCACTAGTGAAGCTAATTCATGGAATTTTAATTTTAAGAAGGTTCTGTGTTGATGCATAAGGATTGTAGAGGTCATGGGAAACCCATTTTCTCATTTACCTAGTTGGTAAACAGGAGATACTTTGTTAAAGGGACACTAATTCTTCAATTTTTCTTGCTTCCTCTGCTTTACTTTTTCTTCACATTGACACAGACTATTCCCTTTAACACATCTCTTAATCTAAATTAAAGGTAAGAAATAACCGACAGTAAGTCACTTCCTCATGTCAGAACAGGCACGCATGAGCAATTAAATTTCCTCTTAATATTGACTATTTTCACAGGCCACTGTTATCAAAAACTTTTACTTTCAAATCCCAATGTTATGTTTTCCCTCTAAGAGCACTAAATCCTGACCATTCTCCCTTCCCTGAGGGTGGCGAGGTTGGGCAGGTCCTTTCCACCTGATGATAAGACCAAGCATTTCAGAGGCTCCCATGGGGGTCAAACTGGACAAATGGATAGCACATCTGAAAACATCAGAACAGTACATCTATTTTGAGCAGAGACAAGTTACCAATACTTAGATCAGAAGCCACTGAGAATGTGAGGCAAGGAGACAGAGTTGTTGAATGGCCCTGGAAAGCTTGTCATGTTCCCTGCGTGCTAGAAGAAGAGAAGCTGGTTGGGGTCCCTGTGGCACAAGTGCTGCTGGCCTGGTGTGGCCTGTCTGTGGGGAGGAGAGCAGGTGGCTGGCCCCTCGGAGACTTGGCCACTAGGAAGGAGGAGAATGGCTAGGAGCCACTTGTATGGCTGTCATGTACCCTGCAGGCTCAGCGTCCTGCGTCACTGCTAACACAAACTCAGAAGTCCTCAGGATCCTGAACATCAAGGAACTCTTGTTTTCAAAAGTTTAGTGTCTTGATTGTGTGGGAAAATCGTGTTAACATTTGAGAATATTCTTTCCATTTAGATCTACAGAGCTGGACTCTAACTGGTCTTGGTTTCAGCTGCGATGCATGCAGGTTGGCGGAAATGCTAACGCAGTAAGTTCATCTCAGACTCATTGTTTCTTTTCTTGTATAAATACATGTTATACTAGGAAGGAAGCTCGGTGTTTGCATGTGCGAGTTTGGGGTGCTCTATCAGATAGCAAAGACAGGAAGGGCTTGGGAGTGGATGGCCCAGGTGACTTGTTATCTGTTAAATACCTAGTACCTACCGGGCTCTGGGCTCTGGGTGTGGGGATATAGTGATAAGACAAATAAGATCCCTCTTCTTAACTTAGTAATTTCTGGGTAAAATATAACTTTTTTAAAAAAGATTTGATTTATTCATGAGAGACACACAGAGAGAGAGGCAAAGACATAGGCAGAGGGCGAAGCAGGCTCCCTATGGGGAGCCTGATGTGGGACTCAATCCCAAGACCCTGGAATTACGAACTGAACCTAAGGCAGATGCTTAACCAGCTGAGCCTCCCAGGTGCCCCTAAATATAACTTTTTAAGTGTTTAATTAACTTATAATTTTACAAGAGCAGATTTCCTTAACTCCCCTTACAAACCTAAGTAAGGACCCTCAAATATGTTAAACTTCACTTACAAATTCAGTATATCTGATTCATCAGGTTGGGTTGCTCATACAGATTTTTAGAATATCTTCATTAAGATATGACCTTTGTAATTCATGTCTGTGTATGGACGGACCCTTATGGAGTGGTTGAACAGAGTTTCCTCTGATTATTTAAACATTTGTTTTACCACCTTGTTTATGCTGTGGTCCCTGTTGATGAAGAAATAGTTCTAGGCAAGGTGAAGGTCAGCATAGCTCCTAACCAGTTTCCAGTTAGTGGGATTCCAGTGTAGTTGAATTCAGACTGAAGTGAATGGCTCATGAACTAAAAGTCCAGAGTGGAAGGTGCGCCCCCAAAGTAACAAAATAATCTGGAATGATGGAATGCTTTAACAGAGAGAAACGAAGGGCCAGCGATTTCATTTTGTAATGCGAATCTCATGTCTAGTTTTACCAAAATATTCATGTTGCACGTGTGGAAGGTATTACTTTTACAAGGAAAGGTTTATATTAAGTTTTGTGGTTTTAAATTGTTTTTGTAAATTATGTGGTTTAATTACTTTTGTTTTCCCTAGTATTTCCCAAGAATCCTTCACAAAATGAAGTAATGTTTTCAGTTATATGTTCGATTTAATACAGCATTCCTGTTAATTTGTGTGTTTTCCTCCACAGTCTTCCTTTTTCCATCAACACGGCTGTGCCACCAATGACACCAATGCCAAGTACAATAGTCGTGCTGCTCAGCTCTATCGGGAGAGAATCAAGTCACTGGCCTCCCAGGCAACGCGGAAGCACGGCACTGATGTAAGTTGCTGGTGGATGGGGTTGTCTCCTTCAGATGAACATTTATTTTAGTAGAAAAAGGGGTAAACAGTAAAACCTTCTAACTGGATTCTCTTGCAAGGAAACAATCTGTAGTTGATTCTCATTGTTCATGGCAGTTATGCTCTGTGAGCTTGCTGTGAGCATTTGAAAGAGTAAATGCCAAAGCATCACTCCTACAGGAAATAGAGGGCTAGGCTCCTATAGGCTTCTGGTCACAATGTTTCCATCAGCTGATCTGTATATAATCTCATTTTACATGTGCTTCTGCTTAAGGGCTCCTTTTTAAATTTTTTTTAAGATTTTAAAAATTTATTTATTCATGACAGACACAGAGAGAGAGGCAGGGACAAAGGCAGAGGAGAAGCAGGCTCCCCACAAGGAGCCCAATGCAGGACTTGATCCTAAAACTCCAGGATCATGCCCTGAGCTGAAGGCAGATGCTCAACTGTTGAACCACCCAGGTGCCCTAAGGACTCCTTGTTGAACAGATTATGTAATTAAGCATGTGATATACTTAGTATATTGCTATAAAAATATTTAATATATAATAGATATAACTTAATATATTATTAATCTATAGTTATTGACTCATTAACATTGAACTCACTGCCCACAGCACTAGAACTCATTCCTGAATGAAACTTACCTGACACTATTTTCTCTATGAGGCACATCACAGCCTGCATGTGCTTAGGAGCATTAGGAGGACTGCAGCCTAGCCTGGACGGCCTGTAAACAAGGAAATCACCAACAAAGCACAAATATGTGGAAAATTTGGCACTAAATAGACCACAGAAAGGACACATTTAGTGTTGGAGAGCTTAAACAAGCACCTTGGGTTGCTCAAATTCTCTGCTGGTCCGCACACATCTATGAAGGACACAGAGGTGTCTCAAGTACCGATTTGGGGGTTACGAGTAAACTCTGACGGGTGGGTAAAGTTGCAAATACAGAACCCACTATTCTCGTGGATTGACTGTACTTTGGAACCTGTGCTTAGAAATGAAATCCTCAATCATTCCTTTTCAGAAACGGCTTGTGGATCTGGTAGGTGACATCCTTGAGATTTGGAAGCATAAGTTAGTGGGTTAGTGGGTTAGTGGGATTACTAAAATGTGCTCAGGGGCCCCGTGTAGGCACATACTGATTGTATAGTAGTGGAAAGTACCCATCTTTACCAAACAGGTCTCTAGAAGGGGAATGAGAGTATAAAATAAAACCCTTTAAAGGCAGGTGAAGAAAAAAAAAATAAAGGCAGGTGAAGGGCTAAGCAGTGCTTTATGTTTTTGTTCTAGCTCTGGCTGGATAGCTGTGTGGTTCCACCTTTGACCCCTCCGCCAAAAGAGGAAGATTTTTTTGCCTCTCATGTTTCTTCTGAGGTATGTATTATGCCTTATACTATTTTATTGCATTTTTTTTAGGATTTTATTTATTTATTAATGAGAGACACACACACACAGAGAAAGAGAGAGAGAGGCAGAGACACAGGCAGAGGGAGAAGCAGGCTCCATGCAGGGAGCCCGACTGGGGACTTGATCCCGGGTCTCCAGGATCAGGCCCTGGGCTGAAGGTGGCGCTAAAACCTCTGAGCCACCTGGGCTGCCCACCTTACACTATTTTAAAGTATCCCTACTCTTGCAGTTATAAAGGGTGTGTAATTAAACGTTTCAGTCAGGAGACAGATTAAGCTGCTCTAACAAACATCCCTGAAATATAGTCACTTAAACAAGACAGAAATCAGTTTCCATCAACAGTTCAGAAATCGTCTGTCCAGGGTTGACCGAGGGATTTATTTTGCTCTTTTCCACATGTTGGCTTCCATCTCAAGCTCCAAAGTGTCTGCTCAAGCTCATGACCTTTTGCAGCAATGGCAAGGGGGGCAAGCATCTAAGAAAGCAAGTGCCCAATCCTTTTACTAAAAAATGTAGAGGTAGTGCATATTACTTCTGCTTGTGTCCCGGTGGCCAGAGTTTAGTTATACTTCTGTACCTAGCTGTGAGGAAGGCTGAGAAATTATTACTAGTAGTCTGCCACAGTTCAGTTGAGAACTGTGGAACTCACAAAGAATGAAGAATTTTAATTAATTAATTAATTAATTAATTTAGAGAGTGTGAGCAGGGAGAGGAGCAGAGGAAGAGAGAATCTCAAGCAGACTTCCCCCACTGAGTGTGGAGCCCAATGTGGGACTCAGTTTCACGACACCAAGATCATGACCTGAGCCAAAATCAAGAGTCGATGCTTAACTAATGGCCCTAAACCCAAGTTTTAATAGGAGTTTGAATCTCATTGTCCCAATTTAGCTGTGTACCTAGAGCATATCTCAAGGCTTTTGTAAGAATGTCAGTTGGGTAAGCATCTGACTCTTGATCTCAGCTCAGATCTTGGTCTCAGAGTTGTAAATCAAGCCCTGTGTTGGGTTCCATGCTTAAGTAAAAGAATGAAATCAGTACTTACGCAAGGAATTAGGAGCTGGCGCAGAGTAAGCCTCTAGCCAATGTGCCAAAATCCTTATCTTCATTATGCGGTCTGGTAGGAGCAACAGTAATAATCCCCAAGTCACTAAGATTGGGGAACATAAGACCTCCACAGCCTAAAATATTTACTGAGTGGTCCTTTAAGGAAATGTGTGCAGGCCTCTGGCTTAGAGCCTCAGATGTCTGTTTGCTGCCCTTCCTCCTCCCGGTCCCACTGGGGTGGGGGTGCATTTGCTTACCTACTGCTCCACCTGTTCTTTAACCCATTTTCAAGTATACATGTGGAAAGGTGTATACATTGCTAACCCTTGATTTTTTTTTTATTATAATGTACACATACATGTTCATTGACCTACATGTTCAGTAGTTACTAGAAGTAGTTATCAAAAAAGAAGGGAACAGAAAACAAAACAAAAGATAAGACACTCTGTCATGATCTTTGCCTCTTGCTTAATATAGAACAAGATACAAAATACCCAGACTAGTAGCTGAGAAGTGTTAGGAATAGAAACAACAGGCTGAAAGGAGGAGACAGAGAAAGAGTTTGGTGTGGACTAATGTTGGAATTAGTATGGAATTAGAATTAGTATGAACTCATGTTTATTTTGCTGTGTCTATCTGGACACACGCACACGTGCAGATACACATGATGGAGCACTGATGACAAATATGTGTGTCTCCATGGGTGAACACACACACGGATGTATTACCTGCCTCTGTCTACCAAGGGGCCCAGAGACAGGGACATGCCGGTACACAAGTGCACCCAGCCACTCACATCTGGATTTCTAAATTCCAAGAGGAACCAGGTCTACCTCTGGAGAAATGCCAGATTCTAGGACTGGGACCACTAGGACAGCTAAGCCTGGAGTATCTTGTAGTGCTGAAAAGTGAGAAAGTGCTGGGTGGAGAGGGTGACAGATAGAGAGGGCATGTCGGGATCCCTGGGTGGCGCAGCGGTTTGGCGCCTGCCTTTGGCCCAGGGCGTGATCCTGGAGACCCAGGATCGAATCCCACGTCGGGCTCCCGGTGCATGGAGCCTGCTTCTCCCTCTGCTTGTGTCTCTGCGCCTCTCTCTGTGACTATCATAAATAAAATAAAGCTCAATGAATTAAAGCTTGAAAAAAAAAAAAAAAGAGAGGGCATGTCAAGAGGACTCAGGAACCAAGCAGAAGGAGTTCCCAATGATCAAAGCTGGAAAAACTTCAACAACAAATTATGTAATGACCGTTTGGGTTATAATCCACAGAATAAATAAACATCCTTGAGTCCACTCTAATAGAAATAGGTAATTGAATAAATAAATCAAGAGAAGGGACGATGTTCCTTAGACAAAAATTCAGTTATATATGGCAAACAGACACAAGAAAAGATGCTCACCATCACTCATCATCAGGGAAATGTAAATCAAAACCACAGTGAGATACCACCTCATGTCTGTCAGAATGGCTAAAATCAAAAACATAAGAAACAACAAGTTTTGGCAAGAATGTGGAGAAAAACATGCCCTCATGCACTGTGGGTGGGAGTGCAAATTGGTGCAGCTACTGTGGAAAACAGTATGGAAGTTCCTCAAAAAATTAAAAATAGAACTATCATATGATCCAGTAATTCCACTACTGAGTATTTACCCGAGGAAATGAAAACACGAATTCAAAAAGATATACGCATCTGCTGTTTATTGCAGCATTAGTTACAATAGACAAACTATGGAAATAGCCCAAGTGTCCATTGATAGATGAATGGATAAAGAAGATGTATGTATAATGGAATATTATTGGGCTATAAAAAAGAATGACGTCTTGTCATTTGCAACAAAATTGATGGACCAAAAGCTTATAATGCTAAATGAAATCAGTCAGAGAAAGACCAGTACCAAATGATTTCACTCATATGTGGAATTTGAGAAGCAAAACAAACAAACTCTTAAAAAAAACCCAGACTATTAAATATGGAGAACAAACTGGTGGTTGCCAGAGGGGAGGGAGGTGGGGGAGAGTTGAAACAGGTGAAAGGGATCAAGAGCACACTTATCTTTTTTTTTAAGGTTTATTTTTTTTAAGGGTGGGGTAGGGTGGGCCAGAGGGAAGGAATCTTCAAACAGACTCCCTGCCAAGTGTGGAGCCTGACCCTTGGCTAAATCTCTTAACCACTTAACCAGCTGAGCCACCCAGGTACACTTATCTTGATGAGCCCTTGGTAATGTACAGAGTTGTTGAATACCTGAAACTAATATGACACTGTATGTTAATTATACTTCAGTTTAAAAAAAAGAAAGAAAAGAACAGACATGTCTTGAGTGGCTCAGTTGGTTAAGTATCTGACTCTTGGTTTCAGCTCAGGTCATGATCTCAGGGTCCAGCCTTCATCAGACTCCAGGATCGGCAGAGACTGCTGGAGATTCTCTCTCCTTCTCCCTCTGCCCCTCCCCACCACGTGTGCACTGTCTCTCTCACAAATAAATACATAAATCTTAAAAAAAAAAAAAAGAATAGACATGTTTTAATATTATCTTTCCTTCCTCCTAATCTAGGCACTTAGAAGGTAACTATTAAATTATTAGCTTTTCCTTTGCTTTGGTTTTTTGTGACTTTTCTTTTGCTTACTGATGGCCTTTCTCACCTTGCTGCAGGTGAGTGGCACAGGGTGGGCCTCAGCACAGCCAGAAGTATCTTCTTTGCCACCAAGGAATGTGGAAACCACTCCAGCTAATAATGAAGGTAGTCTTCAGAACTGTCATGTAAAGCTATCCTTTGGTTCAATGGCATGCTATGAAACTATGAGAAAATAAGATCCTTGGGGTACCTGGGTCAGTCAGTTAAGCATCAGACTCTTGGTTTCGGTTCAGGTCGTGATTTCAGGGTCATGAGATCAAGCCCCGCACTGGGCTCCACATTCAGTGTGGAGTCTGCTTGAGATTCTCTCTCCCTCTCTGTCCTGTTCGTGTTCTCTCTCTCTAAAATAAATAAGTAAATTAAGAAAGAAAGAAAATAAGATTCTTGTATTTAATAATGAAAGATGCCCCTGGTAGATTATATAGTGGGTAAAAAAAAAAAATTACTAAACAGGGAGTATGATTTCATTTTTAAAAGAAACTAAAACAAAAACATCTACACACAGAAAACATGTTAAAAGGTACATGCCAGATTGTTAACTGAATTACTTTTTACCTTCAACTTGATACAGTTGTGAAGTAAATGAACTTGTGTAATGAGTATGTTACTTCTATACTCAGAAGAACAAGGTTTCAATTTTTAAAATGATTCTGTAGTTAATATCTAGTGATTTGCATTTGGTGATTTTAGTACAAGCTTATATTAATTTATTTTTTAAGATTTTATTTATTTATTTTAGAGAGAGAGCATGAGCAGAAGGGGCAGAGGGAGAGGGAGAGAATCTCAAGCAGAGCTGGATGTGAGGCTTGATCCCAGGACCCTGAGATTATGACCTGAGCCAAAGCCAGGAATTTAAAGCTTAACCAGCTGTGCCACACAGGTGCTCTAGAATTATATTTATTATAAATATACCTATATCAATTGCTTGCATTAAAAAAATCACTTATGTGATATGAATAACAAGGATCAAGACATCAACTTTTTCTGTTTTAAGATTGAACATTTTTTGTTAGCCATAAGGTGTGTAAATTAACAATGTTTGACAGCTATACAGGGAATCCCTGGGGTGTGGCTCCATAAGAAGTGTTGGCTGGTATCAAATGAGCGTAGAAAAAAAAAATGAGTGTAGAACTACTTTTGGGAACTTGGTGAGATAGGAAGGACCAAACACTCAGCCAACTTTATGACTAAGATTCTTACTCGAGAAACTGTCTGGCAAAGGTTTTTGTTTGTTTGTTTTTCTTTTGTTTTGTTTTGTTTCTGGAGGGCTGGAGAGTAACTGGTATTTATCAAGAAGAGAGTCCTAGAACAGTGGTCATTCAGATCTCTGTGAGAGTGGGGTTGGGGAGCATGCTGTAAGGAAAAGTCACTTCATTTGTGTTGAATTATAGGCATAAGGGTAGGAATGTCTGAGATTCCATCAAACAATAGATTTTAGGATGCCTCTTTTTAATGTTACTGATCTTAGGAGTTGACCTGTCAGCAAACCAGGATGGGAACATTTTGCATCCTGGGAAACAGTGAATGGAGTTGGAACAAGTGCCTAACATTTTGGGAAAAAATAGTAAAGCAGAATTCCATCTTTACTCTTTACATCAACCTAAATTCAATTGAATCAAAGATTTACATATAAATCATGAAAATATGAAGATACTAGAAGAAACATGGGTAAAACTTTTCTCCTCCTGGAATTGGGAAGTCCTAGGCATATTCAAGCCTCCTGAAAGAGATCAACAGATCTATTACAAATAGAACATTTCTGTTCTGAAGAAATGCTTTAAAGAGGAGTGATAAACAGTTGCAATTTGTAGATAGAAAGCTTGTTTCCTTAATATCCAAAGAACTTCGGCATGGCTGGGTTTCGTATGATTTGATCATACGTGATCATATGTGATTTTTTTTTTGCCCATTTTGTTTTTTTGTGCAAATGACCCTAAATGCCTGCTAAGAACACACCTTTAAGTGGTGTTTAGCTTTTTAATTTCTTAAACCGGCACCGCAGCTACACTGGCCCTCCAGTTCTCTCCTATGTTTGCTTTATGTTTTGCTTGCCATGAGAATATCTCCCCTGGCCGTCATGTGGCTGCATCTTTCCTGGAGTCTCTGCTCGAGGGCCTCGCCTCACACAGGCCACATCCACCCTACCGGCATTCCTAGTCACAACCACATTTATGTGTCTGGTCTCCCTCTTAGCGCAGCACACCTTGGTTCTGGGAATTACCATGCCCTGTTGGCTCAGTGGGCTGTGAGCTCCTCCAGGGAGAGGTTGTTTTTTAAGATAAGTAATCCACCTGATCCGTTGATTGGTTTGTCATCATCCATAAAGACAGAAGAGAAAAAATAATCCCAACAGTCTCCTGACTAACACAGAGAAAAGGTGGGCTTTGTACCTCCTGAAAGTGCAGATGACAGTTGGAATATTGTTATTATTACAACTAATTAGCATAAAAGGCCTTTTGAGGTTGAAGTTCACATGCACGGAGGTCCATGCAACCCCTGGAGTCCAGATCTCATTTGTTTTACTAATGAGAAACTAAGGTGACTAAATGCAAAACAAGATTTTGTTCTTGTACCTATTTTATTTTTTTAAGATTTATTTATCAGAGATCGTGCTCACAAGTGAGTGGGGGAGAGGTGGAGAGAGAGGGAGAGAATCCTCAAGCAGATTTCCTGCTGAGTGAGGAGCCCCCCATGTTATGCCAGGCTCCATCCCAGGACCCTGAGATCATGATCTGAGCCAAAAACCAAGAGTTGGATGCCCAACCAAGCACACAGGCGCCCCTGTTCTTGTAAATATTTTAAGGTCTACATTCTTAGCTGAAGAGTTCCTCCTAGAGGCGTTATTGTTCAGAATTCCACCTCCCCTCACCCCTGCAGCAGCACTTCCTCCTCTCTTCCCTACCAGTCTCAGCAGCAGCTCTCAGTTCTGCAGGCTTAGCCTTGAAGTTCCCTTGTCAGCAGGGGGTGATCGGGTGCAGTCTTAAGTCAATTTAAGGCTTACATAGTGAAAGGGGAGAACAAAGGAATTTTGACCAATGGATTGTGGGTCCTGAGATCCTCTGCTGGTCCTCCACTGCCCAGCAGTTCCTGGCCCGTGGTAAATAATCAAAAAATGTGCAGTCAGTCCTTTTTCCACAAAATGCCATTGTTCTCACTCCTCCTTCTCTGCCTACTTAAATGCCCTAAGTAGAGTTTATCTTTTAAATATTTATAGGGGCTCTTGGGCGGCTCAGTTGGCTAAGTGGCAGACTCTTGATTTCGGCTCAGGTCGTGATCTCAAGGTCCTGGGATGGAGCTCCTTGCTCAGCCAGGAGTCGGCTTGAGGAGTCTCTCTCCCACTCCCTCTGCCCCCACCCTCGCTGGTGTGTGTTCTCTCTCTCTCAAATAAATAAATGTTTTTTTTTTTTTTGAGAGAGAGAGCACGTGAATGAGGGAGGGGCAGAGGGAGAAGGACAGAAAATCTTAAGCAGGCTTCACACTCAGGCATGGAGCCCAGTGTAGGGCTCGAGCTCATGACTCTGAGATCATGACCTGAGCCAAAATCAAGAGTCAGACACTTAGCTGACTGAGCCACGCAGGCGCCCCCAAGTAAATAAATCTTTTAAAATAAATAAATATAAAAATAAGACAGATGAGTTTCCTCTAAACCTCCTTTGGGCCTGCCCTGTTTAAAATAATAGCTTTATTGACCTATAATTCACACATTTTAAAATTTCCCTTTTTTAAAATTAAATGGTTCAATTCAGTGGTTTTGTATATCCACAAGATTGTGTCACCATCTTCACCGTGTATTTAACATTTTCTGCAGCCTGCAAAGAAAGCCTGTACCCATGACCTGTCCCATTCTGCCCTGCCCCCAGCCCCTGCTTCCATCTCCAAGGATTTGCCTGTTCTAGACATTTTGTATTAGTGGAATCCAACAATGTAGCATCTTCCATGACTGGCTTCTGATGCTTAGCATCATGTTTTCAAGGTCCATCCATGTCGTAGCTCATGTCAGTACTTCATTCCCTTTTATGGCCAAGTAAGATTACATTGCCTGGATAGACTACATTTTGTTTATTCATTTTTAAAGGAATAAAATTAAGATAACAAAATATTTTTTAAAATGAAGACAGAATTTCCTAACCAGAATCATTTTTTAGGCAAACTAGATAACAGAGCAGATTTCCTGACACCTGAAAATCATGTAGGTTTCTATCATTGATATGATTGGTGTTAGAAGTTACAAATATTAACATATATTGGGTGTATAATCCACATATGTACTGGGGATCTCGGAACAGTTTATTTTAAAACAGATCATAAGGAGAATTGCAAATGATATTAATTAGGAAGACCACTAACATTTTTATCCTATAAAGCAACAGGATAAAAAGTACACTTCTATTTCAATGGACTTTTAAAATTCATTTTTTAGGGATCCCTGGGTGGCGCAGCAGTTTGGCGCCTGCCTTTGGCCCAGGGTGCGATCCTGGAGACCCAGGATCGAATCCCACGTCGGGCTCCCGGTGCATGGAGCCTGCTTCTCCCTCTGCCTGTGTCTCTGCCTCTCTCTCTCTTCTCTCTGTGTGACTATCATAAATAAATAAAAATTTTAAAAAATTCATTTTTTAAAAAGATTTTATTTATTATGAGACACACACACACACACACACACACACACACACACAGAATGCAGCAGAGACACAGGCAGAGGGAGAAGCAGGCTCTGTGCAGGGAGCCCGACATGGGACTCGATCCCGGGTCTCCAGGATCAGGCCCTGGGCCGAAGCCGGCGCTAAACCGCTGAGCCACCTGGGCTGCCCATAAAATGCATTTTTTTTTAATCAAAATTCTTACAATGACAAAATAGAGTATGGAGCTAAACAGGAAAACAGTCATTGACAAAATTGGGTAAGATATGTGGTACCGAGAAAGCAGAATTTATTACATATTCAAAAGCACATTTGATGAGTATCTTTTCCACATTAATATCAATTTATTTTAACTTTCAGGTGGACCAGAACAAGGACCAAGTGTGGAAGGTCTTAATGCACCGACGAAGGCTGCTTCAGGTAATACACCTACAACTCCATATTCTGATTTACAGAGTGAGATTCATTAGGACAAACAATGAATCTTGTCTTTACATTCTGCGTACATTTTGTAATATGGCATTTGTGACCATTAATCAATTAATAAGATTTTATTGAGCAAAAAAATGCTATTCCATTTTAGCCAGCGAGAGGCCCATGAGTTGCAGCAGCTGGTCTACCTGGCTGAGGTGGCTGTTGACGCTGTTGATTTGCCCATCTGCATTGTGCTGCCATGAGCATGAGCAGAGCACCATGTCATTCCCATTGACTCCAGAACTTCTAGTATTTTCTTCTCTTTCTGATTTTACAGTGGTCTTTAATTTTTCATTATGAGGGAATTATATTCTGAAATTAGTGCATACCATGTGGCATTAATTGGAAAGCAAGTACTTTGGTGAAAAAATAGCTAAACTATTAGAAATGTTCCAGATATTTTCATCCTGTGTTAATAGCCTTGTAGGAGGTTGGGAACAGATTATATGACTACTGCCACATGGATCCAAAGGGAGGTGATGGAAAGAAAAACTTCTTTAGATATCTTTTTCACACTTGAAGTGTAATGATTTTATATTCTCATTAGGGTTAAATTTGAATCTTTCATTGTTTATGGTTTTATGCTGTCTTTTCCTATTAAAGCACATTCTCATCTTTGCAAGAAAAAAAGTTCAAATTTTATTCTTACTGAGTCTCTTAAACATAATTCTAGAAACAGAATATATAACCTATAATTAAAGTTTACCCAGAAAACAGTTTTTAAGGAATTCTATCTTAAAGCATCATACATTTTTGTGCAATTTAGAAAGTACTACTACTACGAAAATAATGGAATGCTTTATAATTCTTATTGACTAATATGATAACATTTGTATATAAGTCAAGATGAAAAAGCACATTACTGCTTTAGTTGTATATGTAATGCCTGGTTAACTTATTATTTTAAATAATTCTAAAAGTTTTTGAGAGCAGATCTTAATAGGAGAGTTTGTTTAATACACATAAGAAATGCTCCTGAAGAAAGTAGTGTATGGGGCCAGGCCAGGCTCTTTTTTTCTCTTCAGTGTGGTGTGCAGAAAACATTATTCTGAATTTGGTTACTACTTGGAAATACCAAGAAACTCCATTTAACCAAGCTCTTAATCTAAAATACACTCATATGCTTGAGTCTTCCTGGTGACAAACCAAGGTGGAAAATGTTATAGTCTCTTAAATAATGATATGTGAAAAAAAAAAGAAAAAAATGATATGTGATATCTTAAGATTTTTTTAAAGATACAATAAAAATTAAAAAATTATGTATTTCTATTGGTCTGACTTTCTACTTTTTATTTTTTGGCAGAGGTGTCCTCTATCATAAAAAAGAAACCAAATCAAGCAAAAAGAGGAGTGAGTATTGTGTGTAATTACCTAGTAGCTCAGCTCTAAAATAGCCCACGCTCTGGAGAAAGCCACATTTGTCATTTCCCTCTTACTTATTTTGAGCCATATTGTGTGTAATACATGTGGCTTTGATAGAGAACCTATGCTTTGTGCAATGAGGTGAATGTTATACGTAGTGAGGATTTTCTAGAATGAAGGTTTGGTGACATTTTTCTGTCGATGACAAAATTCTAAAGGAATCAACGGAGGCTCCTTGGGAGTTCTGTTGTGTTTGCATTTCTGTAAGCGATGCCATCACTCAAGGCTTGGAGAATTGTCATCCGCTGAGCTTTCGGATGTCACAATTCCCTGTAGAGCCCCTGCTCTGGAGGCAGGCGCCAGGGTCTGAATTCCGACTTTGTCACCTAGTGGCTATGGGATCTTGATCAAGTCACTTAACTTACCTGGGCTTGAGTTGCTCATCTGTGAACTGGGGATAAGAAAAATGCCAACTTGACCGGGTCGTGAGGACTAAGTGAGAGAACAAATGTAAAGTGCAGCTCACAGGACCTGGCAGGTAATAAACCTCAGTATATGTTAGCTGTTGCTGCAAAAGCTTTCAAACAATTTGGGTAGAATCTAATTTTATATACCTTCTAGCTTGGGGCCAAAAAAGGAAGTTTGGGAGCCCAGAAAGTGACGAATACGTGCTTTAATGAAATTGAAAAACAAGCCCAAGCTGTAGATAAAATGAAGGAACAGGAAGACCGTCTGGCCAGGGCAGCACCTAAGGAAGAATCCATGTAAGTTTAATTTAGTTACAGAAATGTTTTTAGTGAATAAAACTATTAGCCAAACGACTCTGAGGTTCGCTTTCCAAATGCCATGTAATTATTATTTTTATTTTTATTTATTTATTTTTGTGTTGGTGCTGGGGAGAGGGACTGCCCGGATCGGAGACATTGGAATGCTAATGTAGCGTACTTTGAAGTCAGGCCAGTCGTTTTACATTTCATCTGAGCGGAGGAGCCCCACAGCCGCAATGAAGGGGGTGTGTTTTGGACCCCCTTTGGTGGTGAGACTAGGACCAACAGAATGGGGCAGAAACTGGAAGCCAGGAGGCCAGGAAGAGAATGGTTATAAGTATACACTTAAGGCTCTTGAGAGGCTTTATTTGTGTTGGAAACAGAAGAGTGGTGTGGCCGCCTGGAGAATGCATGAGCTGGGTATGGGAGATCATAGGGAGAGGAGGAAGCAGGGTGACCACGACACAGAGGGGAAAGGCAGCTTGGGTTCCTAGTTCTTACGCCTGTTGATTTTACTTAACTGGTATTTTACTGTTGATTTTACTTAACTGGTCTCTTCTTTTCATGTGTATCTTACCAGTTTGGGCTTGAGTCACTGTAGACTGAAGAAAATAATAATGCTCATTTTATGAGGTTTAATGCTTTGAGAACTACCTTAGTTAGTGCCCATCAAAGTGTATCAAACAGTCCCTGGTGCCAAGTAAGTGCTCAGTGTGATTTCTTGCCATTCATACTAACCGTTTGCTAAGGGGCTTTCTAGTTGTTAAGCCCGGAGAAGCTATTTCTCCTTGTCATTTACCTCGAAGAGCACAGGGGGCAGCACTGAACTGTAGGTAGGCTAAGTAGGGTTTGAAATGGCTTTCTGTAAAATGTACTTCCCACTGTACATTTTACATTCCTCACAGACCTCACTTCGATTTCTCCAAACGAGGTTCTTGACCCTGGGAAAGGGGAAGGTCAAATCTGAAGCTTTAGGGGCCGTGGACAGATTGCGGGTGCGTGGTTTTCCTGGAGCGTCTAAAATCCAGCGTCTGGTCACATCAGAAGACAGGGAATACAGGAAGCTCCAGCTCCCTCCCTGCAGGTCAGCTGGATGGAGATTAGCACATGAACCTTAGAAGCCACACCAGCCTTAGCTGGTAGCTTTCATTAGGACGGCTGAGTACAGCATACACGCAAAGATGCGGGCCAAGCGGTGTTTAAGAATCTGATTTGGGAATCCGCTTTGACAGCTTTCTTGGCCTGTGCCCGAAATACCACCCTCCCGCTCGGACTGCTGGCAGCCCAGTTCCACCCAATGGGCCTGCGCCAGCCCAAGAAAGTGTACATGTTTTATCTTTAAGATGCGACAAAGTGTATTCTTCCACAAGTGAATTTATTTATTTATTTTTATTTTTTTAAAGATTTTATTTATTTATTCATGAGAGGGAGATGCAAGTGAATTTTTTAATGGCTGTGAATAAAGCTATTTCAGTTCAGTAGACTGTCAGGAGCAGCATTTTTCTCTCTCATCAGCCCGTGAAATTCTCAGTGTCCATGAGGTGGCCTCATCCTCCTCCTCTCCTGGCAGTTCCCAGGCCCACCCTCGGAGGAGTCTGCACAGTTGGGGCAGGAGAGTCGAAGAGGCCGTGCCATGGCAGAGCTGCTTCCCTGGCTGCTCCTGGGTGCTGTGCAAGCCCTCCCTGCGGCCGGCACGAGCACTTCAATTCCATCAGTGCTGGCAGCCCCGTGTCACATGTTATGGGAAGCCGGGGCAGTAACGTGCGTGCTTTTAATGCACAGGAGACCCAGTCCCGTGTCAGGTCCCAAGAAGGAAGGCTCTCCCATCACCTCTCTTCCTACTAGAACTTTTTTCTTCCATCCATTCATCTTCTCCAGAAGAATCCATTGCTACAGTTTTATCCATTGTTTTCAACAGATCTGTTGTCTTCCTCCAAAAAACATACTCAAAGGTATTACTTTCTAAGTGATAAAACTGAATACATTGCTGGAACCTGTTCTGTAGGAATAATAGTAAAGAATGCAAACTGCCAGATTAAAACAAAACAAATCCTGCTTGACTTACTAAGGAAGGAAATAGCAGAAGCATTTTTTTTCTATTTTCTATTGACTTCTTTTTCTAGTAAGAAATTTCGTTGTCATTCCCTTGTTAATACAGAGAAATGTATTTATCTTATTGTGGAATTTACATAGTGCCTTATGAGGAATTCATGACATTTTACACAGTTTTATAAAATGGGTAATGGCTTAGAGTTCCTGATAAGATAGGTGTAGCACTTGTCAGCGGCCCAAAATTTTGTTGCTGTCTTACTAATACAAGATACTCTTGTTTTTGCTGACAGAGGCATAATTTCCTTTATGAAAAATTGAGTATTTATAATATGGTTAGAAATCTGAAAAAAAAATCTGAGAGTCAGGGACAGTGTTGTGTACCTCTCTTTACCCCTTTGGTGCATCGTTCATAACAGGTGCTTGATAAACACATCATTAATGTCTGATAGCAGAGAAGGAACTGGTAGCTGAGAAATGAGTACTCTGTTTTAAGTGCTCTTGAAAGCCTGATTATATAGAGATCCTCTGAAGAATCTTTTTGCAATTAAGTAACTCCTTATTTTATCTATTTGTAAAGTCAAAAATATGTAAGTGTGTGTGTGTGTGTGTGTGTGTGTGTACTTAAACCAAGCACCCCAATGAGACTAACCTTATACTTTTGCTATGTAATGTGGAAGTATAAATAGAATATTAATCCAAGTAAGGAATTCTGATTTTTACTATTATTATTCGATGATAGCTGATATGAACTAGAACTGTAAGGTGGGATCAACAGCAATCAAAAAGTGGTTATAAACACATTCAAATTTTCTCAAGCATCTACTCGAAAAAGACCTTTAGGAGAAAAAAAGGCCAATTTGCCTTCATAATTATTAGTTACGGAAAGAAGCATGAAGCTCAAATTATAAGTGACTTGTTTAATTTTGCTTAGCTTTTTAACTTGAAAACACAGAATTAAATCTAATGTAAGGAGCATTTGGTTTTTCTGGCAGCGTTTCATCACTGCGATTAGCCTATAAGGATCTTGAAATTCAAATGAAAAAGGACGAGAAGGTGAACATGAGTGGCAAAAAAAAGATAGAGTCGGAGAGACTCGGCATGGGATTTGGAAATTGCAGAAGGTATGTGGCTTCCAGGATTTAAACCAGGTTGCTGGGATACCTGGGTGGCTCAGTGGTTGAGTGTCTACTTTTGGCTCAGGGCATGATCCTGAAGTCCCGGGATCGAGTCCTGCATCAGGCTCCCTGCGGGAAGCCTACTTCTCCCTCTGCCTGTGCCTCTGCCTCTCTCTGTGTGTCTCTCCTGAATAAATAAATAAAATCTTTTAAAAAAATAAATAAACCGGGTTGCTGATTGTGAATGGCTTTTCCTTATTAACGTCAGTGTGAGACATATTTTTTCTTGATTCCTTCCTTTCTTCAATTTTTTCCTTTACTCTGGTAGCCAACATAGCATGAAAAATTCCAAATTCGAGTCTCAGGAAAAAGAAAATAGGCCTGACCAGTTGCTAAGTGGACGCCACAGACAGAACTGATAGGTGTGACTGTATTTTATTTAATTCACATTGTTCCAGTCCTCACTAAGGATTTTCAGTGCTTACGCCAAAAAATATATATGCCGTTTTTATTGCTTGTGTTTTTAACCCCACTAATACATTTTTGTTGTTCTTGAAAGTAGAGATTAGGGCAGCCCCAGTGGCTCAGCAGTTTACACTGCCTGCAGCCCGGGGTGTGATCCTGGGACCCGGGATCAAGTCCCACATCAGGCTCCCCGCATGGAGCCTGCTTCTTCTTCTGTCTGTGTCTCTGCCTCTCTCTCTCTCTCTCTCTCTCTCTGTATCTCATGAATAAATAAATAAAAAATCTTAAAAAAAATAAAATGTTCCTCAGTGAACACAAGTGTCCTCATGAACTAATGTAATTTTTTCCCGTTTTATTCTGTTTCCTCAAGTGGTATTTCACATTCCGTGACTTCAGATATGCAGACCATCGAACAGGAAATACCCATTGTAGCAAAGCCCAGAAAGAAGTACAGTGATGACAGTGATGACTCCTATTTTACTTCCAGCTCGAGGTAATCCACTAAAAATTGGCTTTAAAGGGTTGTTGTTTTCCAAAGCAGTGACTCTCTTATTGGCATTAGGAGCAAATACAAATCTATTAATTTCTTTGCTTTTAAAAGCTTTAGCTGGAGGCAAGGGTGTCCTTTGGGAAAAAATTGGGGAAACATTCATAAGTGGACCATGCTTGCTAATATTAAGATGTTTGGTAATAAAAATCAGCAACCAAGCGTTAAAATTATAGGTGGGAACTTGGGTTTATCTAAGTGTGAAATTGGAGAGCTAAACAAGACCCCAGAGGTCCAGATCCTTTTGTGTCAGGATACCCACTCCTGGAGCTTCCAGCTGGCAGGGTGGAGTATTGAGTAAACACTGCTGTGTGTGCGTATCAATTCATGGAAAACACTCATGCGCTCCAAAGGCTCCCAGGGTACGCTAGCTTCTGGTCCATCAGCGTTCACCATCAGATGAGGACAAGTTGCCTGACTCTGGTGTGAAGCCGACCGTGGTGAGTGCCACGGTTCAGGCTCCGGGGCCCAAGGGGCAGAACAAGTTTGAACTTGAACTGACTCACTTTGGGAGGTTCCTCCAAAAACCTGACTGGCACAGGGAGAGTATTGCTAAAAAGGCACCACATGGGGGTCGGGGGCCGGGGGCAAGAGTGTAGGCCTGGGCTCAGACGGCCTGGATTCAAATCCTGACTGGGCCACATAGTGACTTAATGACTGTGTGACCTCGGCCAAGTTACTCAGCCTCTCTGTGCTGCAACCTCCTCATCTGCAAGTTAGGGATACTTGCAGTGTAGGTAGTCTACCTCACAGTGTAGGTAGGGAGGGCTACATGAGTTAATGCAAATGGAGTGTCTGGAACAGTGCTTGACTATTGTTTGTGTTGTTTAGCTGCTATTATTATGTAGAAATTCAGTTCTAGAGACATGTGATGCAGTCTGAATGTTTAATTACTATCCTTAGATACTTAACCACACTGAGGGCCGCCTTCAAGTTTGGAGTTTAGGACAATTGAATGTGTGCTGCTCGTCAGTAGTGGGCTCCGTGGCTCCCATCTGGAAGGACATTACTGTCATCTTGCAGTTACGTAGGCCTGATGCGTTTTCTTAGATACAGTGGGTATATACTTTATATATACAGGATACAAATGCATGTTGACTATTAACTGAAAGCCAATTGTGAGATATACTCGTCAAAGTTCATAGGTTAGTACTATCCTTAAAAAATTCTTCTCCCATGGCTTCCCATTATTTCAAGTCCAAATATTTTACCAAAGAAAGTTCGAGGTTTAGTGGTGTTCCCTGTCAGTGCTGTGAGTAAACTGTGTAACACACCAGGTTTGGATTTCATTACAGGTAACTCCCAAATCATGCCTTTTAAAAGTATTTAAATATACTTTCTACAGGATAAAATGAAATTTCTTTTTTTTTTAAGATTTTTTTTTTTTTGTTATTCAGTTTTTGTTTTTTTTTTTTAATTTGAAAGAGAAAGAAAGAGCACAAGCAGAGGGAGGGGCCAAGGGAGAGGGAGAAGCAGATTCTCTGCTGAGCAGGGAGCCTATGGGAGGGGGTGGGGGGAGCTCGATTCCTCCTGGGATCGTGGCCTGAGCCAAAGGCAAATGCTTAACCAACTGAGCCACCCAGGCGCCCCTAAGATTAAATTTCTAACTTGATTTGAGAGCTGCATGCACATCAGATCATTTCAGATTTGCTCTTTAAGGAACAAATGGGTCTTGGTCAGAGGAGACTCTAAGTGACTCGAGTTCTACACTGGCCCAGGTTCTCCACTGACCCATTTGGCTTCTCCACAACACCTTTTTGATTATTTCACTGCTCATTAGCACCTCCTGCACGTGAAAGCATAGAAAAGTAAAGAAAAGAAATCTCAAGTTCAATCAGCCCTGCTGCTTGGCAGCCAAGTTGCGAAGAAATGGCTGCAAGTGAAGTTATCCATGGAATGGGCCCTGAGAAACTTCTGGGAAATGTCACTGGCCCTGGGTTCCTGATCGGCTCCCAGGGGTGCTTTATCTGCCTTGTCAGTAGCCTCAGAAATCCTGTGGCTTTTTCTTTCTCTAGAAGCTTAGTCAGAAGAGTCATAAGGCCTTTATTGCTATGAAACAGTTATTTCTGGTTTGAAACCTGGGAGCCAGGTGTTTTTACATAGACTGCACTTAGTGGACTCCTGCCAGAGAGACCTTGGGGTGTCCTCATCACTTGCAGGTTGTGTACCGGGGGCATGAGTGCCTTTTCTAGGCCTCCTTGGATATAATCACTGCTAGTAGGGCAAGGACGCTGTTAATACTCTGGCAACTGAGGAAAAGTAAACACAAAACACTCTGGGAGGGCCAGCATATTAGCTCCATGAAGAGCTTGCACTGCTTCCAAATTATTCATTAGCCCATTAGAACTTGAGCATTATGAATTATGAAAGAGAGCTGTTTCTATTAAAAATAAGATTCACCATGTCTTTGGGCTTTTTAAAATTGAGTTCCATTATATTCAGGATATAAACAGTGTAATTATATACTGAGTACAAACTAATGAAACTAGAACAATTTGCTCAGCCTTATGTAGCCAGCACGGCCTTCACCGGGACAGACAGTTGTCTACAGCTATAAATCAGATGCATGTTGTTGGCGTGCTTTTATCAAGGGATGGTAAGGAACATCTTCAGGGTTGAATGAAGACAGAGTGGGAGAGCAAAAATATGAGTGAAAAGCTTGGAGAACCAGGATCTAGAAATCAGAACATTAGAACGTCAGTAAAGATTTGGAAATCGGGGGTGGCTGTTGTGTTTCTGAGGCCAGGCAAGTGTCCCACAGCCCTTAGTCCTGTCGGCTGAGGCCTGGTGGGGCAGCCAGCTGTGCCCCTGGGGGCGGAGTGCTGCATGCCTCCCGCATCCCTCAGAGCGCAGAGAGCCCGCCCTACGCCCACCCATCCCAGCACAAAGCACACTGCACATCGCTCCTGGTGATCGGTAGGATCCTAGCAGGATGGCTTTTTCTCTCCTTCTGAATTTCGAATAGTCCAGTCATTGAAAAAAAAAAAAATCTGACGCCCTTATATTCCAGGGGAAGCACTTTGGCTTATATGAATGAAGACTATTTCCTTGGAGTGATGCTAAATCTGCAAAGTCCTATGTCCCAGCAGCTCAGAGTTGTGAAGAGCCTGGAAGTTTCAACCTCTCCCTGTCCAGTACTTCATGCCCTGTCCTGCCCCCAGGATCCCCTGGGGGACTGTGCGGTCCCCACCCACACCTCACTCCCTCCCTCCTCAAGGCAGCCCTTTGGTCCAGGGGCAGCTCCGTGAGGAATGATGTCTTTACTTAGATACCTTGTGGGTTTCTGAGCTCAGATCAGCCAGGCCCGTGAAGGCAAGGACTGAATAGGTCTCCTTGCCCTGTGTCCTCATCTAGCAGAGTGCCAGCTCCTCCTAGATGCTCACGAAGTATTGTTTAAATCCCTATTGACTTGGTCTTAATTCTTTCACTCAGGCCCTTACAGGTAAGTCTCTCAAATAATTGAAGATGGCTTTCCAGGCCAATGTGGGAGCGCATGTTGCAAGCCCTCTTTCTCTGAACCGCTGGAAGTCTTGTCCAGGTTTCCTCTCGACAGGGACCTGTTGTCTCTATTCCTCCTGGGCCCACCCACCCATCAGGCACAGAGAGAGCCTGGCCCGTTGCTCGGTGACAGACAGATCCACTCTGAACCTGCATCTTCCTTCCTGGGGAGAGAAGGCTAGTGTAATGGGGTTTGTTCTTAACAACCTCCTCACCAGGGAAGGCAGAGGGCACTATTGGGAATTTTTGTTTCCTATTATCCATGTAAAATCACACCATCTGCTTCAAACGACAAGTTTATCCTTCCTTTTTTCTTTTAACCCAGAAAAAGAGTACACTTGTTTTTAACATTTCCACCCCTCAAATCTTAGCTCACTTGGGCCCTTGGCCTACTTGTCCTTATAGGGCTCCTGCTGCCCCCTTGTATTCGTCTTTGACAACAGGCCTCTTGGGGTGCCCAGGCTTCCCATCCTCATACAACTTCTTCTGACATTGGGGCTTGGTGCCCACCCCATATCCCGGATGCTTCTCTTCTTAATCTGCAGGAAGTCTGGGTGACTTCTTTGAAAGCCCCTACATCTTCTTCCATCCTCCTTCCTCTCTCAGGATGTAAGCCTTGGAATCTGCCTCTTCTGATCGTATTGAACTCCACTTTTCAAAGGGGTGTGGACCCGGCAGGGCTGTTTTCCATCCTGAGCTACAGTGCATTCTGAGAAGGCATGGCCACTTTTCATCAAGGCTCCGGCATATCCGCCTCACCCTGTGTCTCTGTCATGTTCCAGACAGACCCTGCTGCTCCTGGTCAAAGTTTGAAAGCTGCCATGGAGTTTTGCTCTCTGAGCAAAGTCCTGCTCAGTTGATATTCAGTGATGCTTGGCCAATGAATATGTAAACCGATCTAGAAGGCCAGCATCTCCTGAGAGATGCTTACAGATTGAGTTCACGCCAACCTCCAGGGTGTGAGAGCATCTGCAAGTGGCTTTGCATCTGACTCTAGGAGGACGCTAATGAGCATCATTTATATGGAGTGGCAGTTGGGAGTTATTGTTAGGATTGATGGCTTACGCTGGAGCTAACGTGGCAGGGATTGCCAGCAAGGAGCTCCTTGGATGGGGTTTTTGTTGCAAATACGTAATTAGGCAGTACTAGACGCAAAGAAAGCAAAACGTGTGACCACGAGTGGGTAGAGACATTTGAAGGTGTCATGTGCTACCGGATGGGCTAGGTTATGCTGCACAGACAAGTATCCCCCATCTTAAAGGCTTAACACAATGATTTACTTCTCATTTAGCTGAGGGTACGGGTGATTGTCCATTACCTGCCTTTGGGTGGCACCTTGATTTTCCTGACAGAGGGAGGCTTCTCCTGCCTGAGGCTGTAGAAAACACCACCTTGTCTTCCATGGGGCACGGGAAGAGAGGACAGGGCAAGTGGAGCACAGACGCTTTAAAGGCCTTGGCAGTGACCCACCTCACACCTGCTCCTGTCTCCTGGGTCAGCTCTAATTACGTGGCTGTTCCCAGGGAATGTAGGGCCATATACCCCATATGGGTTGATATCAGTATGTCCTCCCAAGTCACTATGTCACTTTTTTTCATACAGGTATTTGGACGAGCCGATGGAGTTCAGGAGCAATTCTTTTTCCAGCTGGGACGACAGCTCAGAGTCCTACTGGAAAAAAGAGACCATCAAAGATACTGACACCATCCTGAAAACCACAGGCTATTCAGACAGGTATGAACACAGAGCAGCGGGACTGTGAATAGTGAGGCCACGCATCTCTAGGGAAATTCTCTAAGAAAGTAAACAATTTTATTCTACTCTTTCAAGGATATTCTTTTTTTCTTTTTTGAAGATTTTATTTATTTATTCATGAGACACAAACGGGGAGAGGCAGAGACACAGGCAGAGAGAGAAGTAGGCTCCATGCAGGGAGCCCAATGCGGGACTCGATCCCAGGACCCCAGGATCATGCCCTGGGCCGAAGGGAGGTGCTCAGCCACTGAGCCACCCAGGCAACCCATGAATATTCTTCGCATCCTGGCCTGTTTTCTGACCTCGCAGTCTTGCCTTTCCCAGAATGTCACATAAATGGGATCCTACAGTAACGGGCCTTTTCAGACTTCTTTGACTTTTCGTAGTGCATTTGAGACTCTCGTCATGATGTTGTGTTGCTTCCTCTTTATTGTGGAAGTGTGTGTCTGCCACCTGTTGAAGGGCTAACTCCTGTTGTTGGTGATGATGAATGAAAGACTTTATAACCTCCTGTCTAAACCAGGGAGCTGGGGATCCCTGGGTGGCTCAGTGGTTTGGTGCCTGCCTTCGGCCCAGGGCATAACCCTGGAGTCCCGGGATCGAGTCCCACATCGGGCTCCCTCCATGGAGCCTGCTTCTCCCTCTGCCTGTGTCTCTGCCTCTCTCTCTCTCTCTCTCTCTCTCTCTCTGTGTGTGTGTCTCTCATGAATAAACAAATCTTTAAAAAAAATAATGATAACAATACTTGTCAATTATGACATTTAAAAAATAAATAAATAAACCAGGGAGCTGTCGACAGTGGAGGGAGACACGACAAATACGTTGGGATGGGAGGTTTGGCCTGGGACTGTGCCAGGTGACAGGAGTGTACAGCCGTCCTTCTCATTTTGTGTCCTGCCCAACGTGGAGCCGGGTTTTATGAGCATTACAGCAGTTCTACTCAGCAGAATTGATCTGTGGTGCTAAAGAGTGAAATGACTGGTCTATTGAAATAGGACAATACTTTCAATTGTTGGGTGGTTTGGATGTTTATTCATATTTTTATTAGAATTTTCAGGCTTCTTAAAGTGGCCTGAAATCCTTTTTACAAAATTACCACTGTCAGCTTTTTAAAAAGTAAAACGGTATTGGTATACATTATAAATGAGGAATGCACTTGCCTCACCTCAAATTAGTTTAACCTATTTGGGCTGGGGTTTTTTTGTTTGTTTTCATTTTGTATGCTGAAAACACTTGAGATCCATACTTTTAGCAAATTTCAAGTATGCAGCACAGCTATGATTTACTAGAGTCAGCATACTGTGCTTTATGTACTGTGGTCACCGTACTGTACACCATCCCTAGAACTTATTCATCTTGTAAATGGAAGTTTGTGTCCTTTTAACATCTGCCCGTCTCCTCTACCTCCAAGCCTGTGAGAAACAATATTCTACTCCCTGTTTCTATGATTTTGACTTTTTAAAAAAATTTTAGGTTTCACATATAAATGAAATTGTACAGTATTTTTCTTTCTCTGTTGTTTTTTTAAAACATTTATTTATTTCAGAGAGTGAGCAAGAGAGGTGGGGATGGAGGGAGGGTGCAGAAGCCAGGGGAGGAGCAGAGGGAGAGGGAGAAGCAGGCTCTCTGCTGAGCAGGGAGCCCGACACGGGGCTCAATCCTGGGACTCTGGGATCATGACCTGAGCCAAAGGCAGATGCATAACCGAGTGAGCCACTGTCTGTCCGGTTTATCTCACTTAGCATAATGTCCCTCAGGTTCATCCATGTTGTCACAAATGGCAGGATTTCCTTTTTTTTTTTTTTTTTTTTAAGGCTGGATAATGTTCCATTGTATATCTTTATCCATTCATCCATCAACAGACATTTAGTTTGTTTCCATACCTTGGCTACTGTGAATAATGCTACAGCAAACATGGGAGTGCAGAGATCTCTTCAAGATACTGATGTTGTCTGCTTCAGATGCATAACCGGGAGTGGGATTGTTGGATTCAGTGGTAGTTCAATTTTTAATGTTTCGAGGCACCTCCATGCTATTTTCTCTGTGGTCATGCTAATTTGCATTCCCACCGACAATGCATGGGGCTTCCCTTTTCTCCAGTTCCCATCAATACTTAACCTCTTTTGGTAATTGCCACCCAAACAGATGTGAGGGGATGTCTCATTGTGGTTTTGATTTGTATTTCTCTGATGATGAGTAATGTGGGGCGTCTTTTCAGATACTTGTTGGCCACACACTTTCTTCTTAGAACTGTTTTTTCTGTATTTCTTAAGTTTTGGTATGTTGGGTTCCCATTGTCGTTTGTTTCAGGATAGTCATCTTATTGCCCTTTTGATTTCTTCTTTGATCCACTGGTGGTTCAAGAGTGTGTTGTTCAGGGATCCCTGGGTGGCGCAGCGGTTTGGCGCCTGCCTTTGGCCCAGGGCGCGATCCTGGAGACCCGGGATCGAATCCCACATCGGGCTCCCGGTGCATGGAGCCTGCTTCTCCCTCTGCCTGTGTCTCTGCCTCTCTCTCTCTCTCTGTGACTATCATAAATAAATAAATAAATAAAATTAAAAAAAAAAAAGAGTGTGTTGTTCAATTTCCACATATTTGTGAATTTTCCAGTTTTTTTTTCTGGTTATTGATTTCTGCTTTCAACCATTATGGTTGCAAAAGACACTTAATATGATTTCAGTTTTCTTAACTTGTTAAGACCTAACATATGATTTAAATGTGTTCTGTGACCTAACATGATTTGTCCTAGGGAATGTTCTGCGTGTGCTTAAGAATGTGTGTTCTGCTGCTATTGGATGGAATGTTCTGAATGTGTCTGTCCCTTCAGTCTTACATATTGTTCAAGTCCAAGTTTTCTTGACTTTCAGTTTGGGTGATCTGTCATTATTGAAAGTGGTGTACTGAAGTATTCTATTGTGATTGCAGTACTATCTCTTTCTCCCTTCAGACCTGTTAATATCTGTGTCATTTATTTAGGTGCTCCAATGTTGGGTACATATGTATTTACAATTGTTATGGCCCTCTGATGAATTGACCTCTTTTTTTGTTATATAATGATCTGTGTCTCTTGTTACAGTTTTTATTTTTTATTTTATTTTATGTATTTTTAATGAGGTGGGGAGGGGAAGAGGGAGAGGGAAAGAGAGAGTCCCAAGCAGGCTCCACGCCACCGTGGAAGCCCAACGCAGGGCTTGAGCTCATGACCCTGAGATCATGACCTGAGCCAGTATCAAGAGTCAGCCTCTTTTTTTTTTTAATTTTTATTTATTATTTTTTTATTTTTTTGTTATTTATTTATTTATTTAATTTATTAAGAGTCAGCCTCTTTAACTGGCTGAGCCACCCAGGTGTCTATTTATTTCTTTATGCATTCATTCACTCATTCATTCATTTATTCTTGTTTTAGACTTTTTTTTTTAAGATTTTATTTATTTATTTGAGAGAGAGAGCATAGGATACTGAGAGGGAGAAACAGGCTCCCCGCTGAGCAGAGAGCCCGATGTGGGGCTCAGGATACTGATACCATGACCTGAACCGAAGGCAGACGCTTAACCCACTGAGCCACTCTGGCATCCCCTTGTTACAGTTTTTGACTTAAAGTCTATTTTGTCTGATATAAATGTGGCTATCCTTGCTCTCTCTTGGTTTCCATTTGCATGGAATATCTTTCAGTCTCTGCTTTCTGCCTACGTTTGTTCTTCAAGCTGAAGTGAGTCTCTTATAGGCAGCATATAGTTGGACCTTGTTATTTTAATCCATCTAGCCACTTAAGTGTCTTTGATTGGCTAATTTAATCCATTTATGTTTAAGGTAACTATTGATAGGTAAGGATTTACAGTGCCACCTCACTAGTTGTTCATTGGCTCTTGGCAGTTCTCTTGTTCCTTTCTTCTCTTGCCGTCTTTCTTTATGAATTGATGATTTTCCATAGTGGTATGTTTTGATTCCCTTCTCTTTTTTTTTTTTTTTTTAATTTTTATTTTTATTTTAATTTATGATAGTCACAGAGACAGAGAGGCAGAGACACAGGCAGAGGGAGAAGCAGGCTCCATGCATCGGGAGCCCGACGTGGGATTCGATCCCGGGTCTCCAGGATCGCGCCCTGGGCCAAAGGCAGGCGCCAAACCACTGCGCCACCCAGGGATCCCCCCTTCTCTTTATCTTTTTGTATATAATGTAGATTTTGGCTTTGTGATTACCACGAGGCTTACGTAAAACGTCTTATAGCAGTCTTATTTTAAGCTGATAACTTTTTAACTTAGGTAGCATACAAGAAGTCTACCATTTTACTCTACCCCCCCCCCATGCACACACACTGTATGTTTCTGGTGTCACAATTTCCATTTTTTTATATTATGTATCTGCCAATAAATTATTGTAGTTATAGTTATTTTTACCACTTTTGTTTTTTAACTTTTATACTAGAGGTGACTTATATACTAGCATTATAGTATTCAAGTATTCTGAATTTGTGTACTTACTGCTACCAGTGAGTTTTATACTTTTTTTTTTTAAGATTTATTTATTGGAGAGAGAACAAACATGCACATGAGCAGGGAGCGAGGAGAAGTGAGGGAGAGGGAGAGAATCTCCAGTAGACATCCTGCTAAGTGTGGAGCCTGAAACGGGGCTTGACCCCACGACCCCCAGATCATGACCTAGGCCAAAATCATGAGTTGGCCGCTCAACCAACTGTACCCCTGGTACCCTTTCATGTTTTTATGTTATTAATTACCATTCATCAGTTCAGCTTGCAGAACTCCTTTATAGCATTTCTGTGACACCAGTCTGGTGGTCAGCAGGGCTTTTGTTTTTGTTTTTTGTTTTAGCACTTTGAATATATCATCCCACTATCTCCTGCATAGGAGGAGGATTTCTGCTGAGAAATCTGCTGATGGCCTCACAGGGATTCCATTGCATGTGAAGAGTTTCTTTTCTTCTGCAGCTTTCAAAATTCTTTGTTTCTTCCTTATGCTCTGTTTTTTATTCCCATGACTTACTCATTTGGTAATTGGAGGCCTGCATCTCCTTCTCCCCTTCACCCATCCTCTCTTACCCCTTATGTCTGGAAACTGTCGTTGCTTTTCCACACTTTTAGTTTTGATCCTGCTTCTTGTTTGTTTATTCTTTTTGTTTTTAGATTACATTTGTGAGGGGAATCATGTGATATTGATCTTTCTCTCTTTTTGCCTTTGATTTATTTTAAAGATTTTATTTATTCATGAGAGATACAGAAAGAGAGGCAGAGATATAGACAGGGGGAGAAGCAGGCTCCCAGCGAGGAGCCCAATGCAGGACTTGATCCCAGGACCCCGGGATTACACCCTGAGCCAAAGGCAGATGCTCAACCGCCGAGCCACCCAGGCACCCCTTGTTTTTGATTTTTGACAGTTTTATGATAATGTGTCTTGGTGAAGATCTCTTTGCATTGAATCTTTTTGGGTGCTTTTGATCTTCATGTACCCAAGTGTCCACATCTCCAGATTTGGGAAGTTTTTATCCATTATTTCTTTAAATAAGTTTTTGCCCCTCCCCCCTTCTCTTGATGGAGAAGATTCTCCTGTATTGTATTATCTCTTCTCCCATAATGCATAAATTTTTTTTCATATAGTGTCCCATAATTCATGTAGGTTTTCTTCTTTTTCATTCTCTTTTTCCTTTTTTTTTTTTTTTTTTGTCTTCATTGTAGCTTTTTTTTTTAAAGATTTTATTTATTTATTCGAGAAACAGAGAGAGAGGCAGAGGGAGAAGCAGGCTCCATGCGGGGAGCCTGACATGGGACTCCATCCCGGGTCTCCAGGATCACGCCCTGGGCTGCAGGTGGCGCTAAACCGCTGAGCCACCTGGGCTGCCCTCATTCTTTTTTCTTTTTTCTCCTGTGACTGGATAATTTTAAATGACCTGTCTTCGAGTTCACAGATTCTTTCTTCTGTTCAACTAGGTCTAACACTGATATCCTCTGTCATCAGCTCCAGAGTCTCTGTTTGATTCTTTTTTATGATTTCTGTCTCCATGTTGAGCTTCTAGTTTTGTTTGTATATTGTTTTCCTGATTTCATTGAGCTGTATGTGTTCTTATAGGTTGCTGAGCTTCTTGATCTTGAAATCTTTGTCAGGCAATTCCATGGGGTCAGTTTTTGGAGAATTATGACATTCCCTTTGTGGCATCATGTTTCCTTGATTTTTCATGCTCCTTGGGGTCTTGTGTTTCTGTCTTTGCATTTGAAGAAATAGTCACCTCCTCCTGTCTCTCCTGGCTGGCTTAGGGTGAGAAATGACTTCACCAGCATCCTTGCTAGGGATTCTGAAGCTTTCTCAGACCTTTCCTATGTGTATGCCCACTCAACACTACTTACTCCTTTTTAGGGGTGAATTCTTGAGATGTATGCCTTCTCTCAATCCTTCAAGGCCAGGCCAGGTGCCCGAGCCTCCTGTTTGCTTTCCCTTGGTACCCTTGAAAATACTCAAGTTTGCATACTTTTTCCCAATCCCACAGAATCAGGCTTGCTTTCTGCACATGCCCAAAAGCTTGTACTCACCATCTGTGGGGGCATGTGCAAGGAGCCGGCAATGGGGTGGGGACAGAGTGGGCAGGGGTTAGTTGCACAGAACACTGGAAGGCACCCATGGGCCAGTTGAGGGTTCCACAGGCAAAGTGTACCCAGAGGCTTGTGAGCAGGCTTCCTCGTGCCGTCTACAAAATGGTCAGCAGCACCTGCATGCCTTTAATGAGTTCTGAGCCCTGGCTGCTATGCTTCCAACCCCTAAGCCATGCAGATCACCTCAGTATTCTGGATGGGGTAGGAAAGAAGGAGCATCCTCTGCAGTGTCCCATGCAGCTGGGGAACTCAGGCACCTACTCACCAACCTCTCACCTTCCCCTGTGGGAGATGTTGGAGGCCAAGGGGATCTCTGTTAGTGCTGAGCTGTGCCGCCTTGGGGGAGAGGTGACCCAGGCAAAGTGAAACTGTTCCTCTAACCCTCTCTAATGTGCCCAGTCTTGGATTGTTAGCTCCAACGATCCAATGTGCTGGAACCTCTCTGCTGCACTCCTACACTCCCAGTAAAGGCATTCTTGTCTGTGAATGATTGTCAAAATCAGTGTTCTATAGAGGGATGGTGGTAGAAAACTTCTATTCCACCATCTTGCTGATGTCACCCCTATTTTGGCTATTTTAATTGTAGATCTACTGCTCGCCGTAAGTCAGACTATGAGCCAGTTGAAAATACAGATGAGGCCCAGAAGAAGTTTGGGAATGTCAAAGCCATTTCATCAGATATGTACTTTGGAAGACAAGCCCAAGCTGATGTAAGTGTCCGGAGAGTTTGCATATGGGCCTCGTAGAGCAAGGGACATGGGGATTGTGGGAGGAGGTGCTAGGCACAAAGCAAGATGGACTCAGGTTGTGAAGGCCACTGCCCTGGGGGTGTTAACGAGAGGACTGAAGCCCAAGTCTTCCTGACCTCTTTCACAGCCCCAGCTGCCAGAGGAGCAGCTGGAAGGTAGGAACCAATTCTCACATTTCTCTAATTCCTCTTTCCATTTCATGTCTTTAGAATAAATTTCAGGAAATTTTCTTTTTTCTTTTTTTTTTTTAAGATTTTTATTTATTTATTCGTGAGAGACACAGAGAGAGAGGCAGAGACAAAGGCAGAGGGAGAAGCAGGCTCCTCACAGGGAGCCCAATGTGGGACTCGATCCCAGGACACCAAGATCACGCCCTGGGTCGAAGGTAGACGCTTAACCACTGAGCCACCCAGGCGTCCCTTTTTTTTTTTTTTAAGATTTTATTTATTTATTCATGAGATACACAGAGAGAGGCAGAGGGAGAGGCAACTTTCAATACAGATGTAATTTGTTTAATTTTTAAATTATCATTAATGAAGTTCAATGAAGCAGACATGTTTTTGGAGGGGAGATATATGTATTTTCAGGTTGTTGCCTCTTAGTGGAGTCTCACTAAGCAGAAGGATCAGATGGCAATGAGGAGGTCTCAGGTTTTGTTCTAGTGCTGGGGCCCTGGCTTGCTTGCACAAAGCTCTGGGAGTGCGCATCACTGCCGGGCTTCTTGGATGGCACAGGACTCATCACTAAAGGGGACTCAGTTTATTGTGTCTCTGGAGAGCTCTGACCAGGACTTCCAGAGCACTTAGAGCCACCTTCTCTTCCTTCACCCGCTAAAAATCTTTGTTTTAAAGTTGACAACATCTAAGTTTAGTTACAAAACACCGAGTGAGTCCTAGAGGTGGTTTGTGGTGGCCTCTGCTGGCCACTGGTGCGCCCGCCCCTGCTGATGTGTCATCCTCGGTCTCTGGTTTCCTTCGCACTCAGCAGCTGTCAAATGACAGCTCCTAGCTGATTCTTTGTGCACAGCTGCTCTAGGGATTTGGAGCCTAATGGTTTCTATTCCCTGTCTTCTCTAGTATGAAACCAGGGCTCGGCTGGAGAGGCTTTCGGCGAGTTCCTCCATCAGCTCAGCTGATCTGTTTGACGAGCAGAGGAAGCAGACGGCAGGTAATGGGTGCAGTGGGGGGCAGTTGACAAGGTTGGTGTCTGCGGTGTCTACAGCTCAAATGCACTTTCTCTGCACAGAACTGTGTACTTTTCCATGATGTGATTCTCTGACCTCCTCCGTGAGTCAGAGCAGAAGTTACTATTATTCCAGGTTTTGTTTGTGAGGAGACCAGGTCACGACATTTCACCTGCATCCCCCAGGTTGCCCGGCAGGTCATATTCCCAAAACATTGCCTCCTCGTCCAGTGGGAACGTGGTGTCTGATTTGTGTGGTATCACAGCCTTGCAGGGGGACAGCCCTGAGCTCCTAGCATCACTGAGCACTCCCTGCCTGAGGCCTTGGGCATTTTGTGTCACCCTAACCTCAGATTCTCCTCTCTGAAGTGGGTGGATAATAAGGCCCCCACAAGGTTGCACTGAGGCTTCAGTGAGGTGCTGCGTGTAAAGTGCCCATGCCACATGGGGCTGGCATAGGCCCCAAGAGAGGCAGGAACAGAGTGGGCGGGTGGGGGGGCACTCTAGCAGGCTCAGTCTTCCAAGGAAGGCAGAATGTGGCTTTGGATACAGGCAGGTGGAGAGGGATTTCCTGTCTCCCTCGGCCTTCTTAAGGTCCAGATCCCATTGAAGAGAGTCTGGGAGCCCCAGGGATTCCAGCTCAGAGCACAGGCCCGCCATGGACGTCCAGAGCCGTGCCACTCTCCGCTTGTACCTCTGGGTCCCTGTGCCGTGTTGGCTCCCACCCAGGCCTCAGCCAGGCCATAGGGCTGAGGGAAGCCTGTGTGCCTCTCTGCGGTCACAGCTAAGAGTAAAGGAGCAGTGTCCTCGGAGGTCATTTCAGGAACCCACTCAACAGCAGAGTCCAAGGGGAGGGGATCTCCAGAGCCAAGTGTTCCAGGCCCAGGACCACTGGTGCCCTGTCGTTCCCAGCCCTGGAGGCGCTGGGCATGGGCATGGCTGACCAACACGGGCAGCCCCCAAACATAGCAGTTTTCTGAGTCCAGTGAGAAACAGCCTCAAGAAAGAAGGTCATAGAACAGACCTGAATGCCTAGGACCTTTGGTGCTTGGGTGTGAGGATGCTAGAAGATCCACTCTGGCCCTCAGGGCATAGGGAGCACACCAGGCTGCTTGCTGCTGTGGGAAGGAGTGGCTCAGCCCGGGGTGGGGGCCTGCTGGCCCCAGAGACAGGTGGGGGTGCTCAGTGCCGTGCCCCTGCCTCACACAGTGGGGCTGTGGCTCTCCCTCTGGCCACTGAGCTCTTTTCTACACTGGGTCTGGGTAGGGGCAGGGGTGGCTCTTGGACTTGTGTTCTCACCTCAGGGCTGTCAGCGCCCTGGCCTCTGGTCAGGGCAGCTTCCTCTTGCACCTGCCTGGGCAGAGGGGTGCTGGCCCTGTGCCCTCAGGAGGGGAGGTCTCTGCAGCCCTGCCTCTGCCCCCCTGGACCAGTGCTGGGTCACCTCCTGGCAGGGGTCAGCTCAGCCCAGAGAACCTGAGGTGTTGAACATCACCCCCCACACACAGCTGTGTGTGTTTTTGTAATTCAAGTTGTTGGAAGTTTCACTCTGAAACATCGTTTGTTTAAAAAGAACAAAAAAGCAAAAAAAAAAAACAAAAAAAAAAAAACAACATTGGGAGATCAAATGAAAGCAGCCTTTCCAATTGTTGAAGGAAAATTGTGGCCAGCCTATGTTTACTTTCCTGTCCTCTTTCAGAGAACAAAGGTCCTTTAATTGTTTGGGCCTCGCGTAGGTCCCAGACAAACCCTGTCCATGGGAACCCAGAGTCCTGGTAAGGGTGACCCCTCCCCTCCCCCGCTTCCTGTCCCCCACCTCATGTGAGCCCAAGGCTCAGACCCTGGTCACCCTCACTCTGTGTCTTCCATCAAGCCCATCATCAAAGTTGTCTTCCGTAACTGCCCTAAATGTAAGTGCATTGAACAACTCTTATTAAATATTTACTTTCTGTTTAGAGTGCATTTCAGCAAACAGCAAAGGGTGGTTTAAGAGACCGTTCTGTGTCCCGTGTGTTAGAAGCTTTCCCATCTGTGGAACATCGGCGCCCTTGAGTAGATCATAGTAGACCTTTACAATTTCTTTGTGGTGGGGGGAGAAGCAGTTCGAGATTGAAAGCCCTCCTGGTGAAGTGAAATACTTCCTGGGGATGTGGTTAACCTAGGAGCGCTGATGTTTCTCGAGGGCCCTTCACTTTCCGGGTATTGAAAGGTCCAGATGAAAAACACACGTAAGCACCCACCACCGGCCTGGCACAGCACCGGGGCCTGTGGTCACTCTCCCAGAGCAGGGGTGCTTGGAGGACACGGGACTGCCATCAACGGGGCACTGCCTTGCGAGGCAGCCACTCAGCACACGAGTGGCTCCAGACCCTGCTTGTCCCCGGGCAGGGCCAGCGACGCTACAGACCCCTCTACCCTGGGCCCCAGGCTCTTGTGTGCCCCATCACCCTCGGGTTCCCCAGGCGTGTTTGCTCTGTCCCCTTGGGCCACCCGGGCCACCCTCTTCTTTCCTGCCCCCTCAGGCCCAGAGCCCGGGCACAGGGCCTCTTCGGGGCCTGCAGATCTCAGAGCGCTGGTGGTTCTGTGTGGTCCGCTGGTGACCATGTTGGTCCTATGTCGTGGCTGTGTGGTGGGGCCACCAGCCCAGAATCAGTGGTGACCAGGGTGGCATTGACATCAGTGTGTGGCCGCTGTGCCTCTGGCGAGAGGCACCCCGCAATGCTCCTGTTCCTAACAAAACCTGGCACCCAGTCCCCTCGGACATGCCTTTTCTCTCTGCTCATCTCTATTTCAGGGAAATGGGTCCGTGATATTCTACTGAAACTTCTTCGTCCTCAGTTAGAGCGCAGCTCCGCCAGCAGCACCGCTGGCCAGGGCCCCCGATGAGCCCCTGGGGGCGGGACCCGCCCGTGCTCACCTCTGCACCCCTGGCCCAGAGAAAGCCCTTGCGTCTGTTGAGTGGGTGGGTGGTCGGGCAGTGGAGGAGTTCTGGGAGTGGGGTGCCCACTGTGCTAGGGCCCTTCCAGCATGACCAGGAACATACTGTGCCCCAACAGCGACGTGGTGTGGCCAGCATGAGGTGCAGCACCTCGAGCCATAGGAGGAAGTGCACACGTTGCAAGGTCCCTGCTCTGTTGTGGCTCCGGAAGCCTGAAGGGGGGCAGCCCCGTGGGCCTACATCTCCAGGGGCAGTGGGCACCAGTGGGGGGTGTGACCACGGTGTCACCCGGCCTTCCTGATGGATGCAGGGCTCCACACAGACCACGTAACATGGTGTGGCCCAGCTGGCCTCCCCTGGCCGGGACTCTCAGGCCTCTGCCCCGGCCTTGACACCTTCCCGGCTGCTCAGCCAGAAACCTGGGAGTCACCCTTAATTCCTGTCGTACCAGCATGACCCCTCCCCCACACACACACCCAAGCCAGTTGGTCCCTGAGCCTCCTGGGGACACTCAGACCATCCGCTCTGAGGCTTCCCCGGGGGACTCTACCTGCAGGCGCACTCACTTCGTGTTGTCGGTGGATTGTCCGCCTTCCCCCAAAGGCCCGAGCTCTGGAACTGTGGCCATGTCCTCAGCCCTGGGCCAGGGAGCCTCTTCCTGAGGAAGCAGCTTGAACTGTCATTCCTGGAGCCTGGAGTGCGACCTGAGTGCTCTTAGGCTCGGCCGCCTGGCCCTTCCAGCCTGCTACCCTGGGCAGCCCCAACCCCGGGGACACAGCACCCACTTACCAGCAGGAGGAGGGAAACTTCACAGACACAGGACACTTGCCGTCAGTCTCCAGAAGCAGCAACAGAGCTGCAGGCGGAGCGTGGAAAGGCAGTTCCTCGCCGGAGCCCTGACCTGCTCCTCATGCTCCTTACACTCAGGGAGCTTAGGTCGCTCAGGGAGCTTAGGTCGTTAGTGGGGTTAAGCAGGTAAGGGAGACGCACAGAGGCCCAATCGGGTCTCTTACACATGCTTTGGGAGGCGGGACACGTGCTGCGTTCCCAGAGGTGGGGGGAGCCAGGCCCTTCCTCTTGTTGCTCGTCCCCTCATGTCTATGATGGCTGCTCCAGCCCTCGACATCACGTCTGCATCCCAGCCAGCAGGAAGGAGGGAGAGGGAGAGGAAGGGGCTGGCGCTGGCCCTGCAAGGCTCTTCGGCTTACATCCCATTGACCAGAACCCTGCCACCTGCACTCACCTTGTTGCAAGGTTAGATTCTGGGAGTTAGAATATCAAGTTGGAGACTCTGGTCAAGTGCCTCTGCTGAGGTCGCCCCTGTACCCTCTGGTCCAGGCCTAGGCAGCCACCGTAGGCCTTGCTCGGTGACCCTGGCTCTGTGCACTCAGGATGTCACACTAGCTCCTCGTTTGCTCTCAAGACCCATCTTTTAGGCCGGTGGCACCAGCCGGCGAGTGGCCACTCTGGGACGGTCTTAAACCCAGATCCAGTGGCTGGGCAGGGCTTCCACGCTGTTATCGGCAAAGGCCCCCAGAACTGTGAAACTCAGCCGGAGTGGAGAGGGGAAGAGCCCTGCTCCCTGCGTGGTGGGCATGGGAACAGTGCTGGGGACAAACACTGTGTCCCTGCTGGGCGGCGGTGGTGCTGGAGGGTAAACATGTCCATCCTGTTTGTTCTCCGAAAGGGAACTGGCCTCTGTTGCTTCAGGGGCAGGTGGGTGCAGAGGGGTTGTGTGCGGGGAGCTGGGCTCAGCTCCCCCCAGGACCTGCAGGCTTCGGGCTCACTCTGGGTGTGAGCACCCCCAGCTGCCTGTGACATCTCGGGGACAAAGGTTCACCAGGAAGCCCCGGTTGCCACTTGTGGGACTGTCACCCCTCGTGTGAGAGAACACTGGGGCGCCTCACCTGTGTCGCTGGAAATGGGCTCATGTTTCTGTCAGGCAACCAGAACCGAAGCAAAGAAACCCAACAGGAAGGTTGGGGTGAGGGGTCTGGCTCTACCCGGGCTCCAGCTCTGAGTCAGAAGACAACGAGAGAGAGAGAGAGAGAGAGAGAGAGAGACCCCTCCGCGCTGGCTCCCTCCCTGGTGAGCCCCGTTCTCCCGTCCTCCGCCAGCCTGAGTGGCGAGTGGGGGTCCCACCAGCTGCAGTGGCGCCTTAGCCTCACCGGTCACCCCAAAGCAAGCAGACGGCTCCTCTATCGAGAGGATAGGAGTCCAGGGGCCCCCGATTGGCCAGGCCCAGGGCACGTGCCCCCCTCACCCCGGGCAGTCCAGGGGGCCCCCTCGGAGGGAGGGAGGAAAGCCTGTACCAAAACAGGTGGAAAGGATGCTGAGCTCGCAGCAGCTGTCTGCCCTTCTGCCGGTTACCAATGACTTACCTGGCGGGTCCTGTGCTAAGCACCTGGGCGGAAGGAAGCAGCCCAGAGAGGGTGAAGGAGCTCTCCAGTGACACACAGCTTGAAAGTGGCAGTGCCTGTATTCGAACCCCCGACGGCCCTAAGACCAGTATCATGTCCTCTCTCACGTGGGGTCTCGCAGCCGGTTCACGGTGGGGCTGGCGCGGCCACTGAGTCCCGACGCCACCCCAGCTGCTGCTGGTGGGCAGCGGGGAGGGAGGGGACCCCACGTTCCCTGAGGCCGTCGAGCACTCTGGCCACTGGCCGCACTGTCTGTCGCAGCTGTGGAGTGACAAACCGGCGTCTGCTCTGTGTGCAGGAAGCTACAACCTCACGAGCGTGCTGCCCACGGCGCCCGACATGGCCCAGTTTAAGCAGGGAGTGAGGTCTGTTGCCGGAAAGCTCTCGGTCTTTGCCAACGGAGTCATGACGTCCATTCAGGTCAGTGACGCTGGGAGGACATGAGCAGAGTGGGATGGTGGCTTTGAAAATGAGGTCTGGACCACTCTTCAACTGCTGGCAAATTAGATTTCATATTATCGATTGATAGGTTTGCTGCAGTGTAACCCAGGGCATCATGAAAACCAGAAATTGTCATTTTATTCTTGCTTACATTTTCTAGTAGGTGACTCTAGGGGAACTGCTACAGGAATCATCGTGATCCTGAGCTACCTATTTCCTATACCGGGGACAGAGAAATAGTAAGAAGGAAATAGAAATCACCCATTATATCCCCCCCGCCCCAGGGGAACTTCTTTTAATGCTTTGGTATATTTTATTTTAGTTCTAGAATTGTATGCCTATCATTTTAAAATTCAAACAGGATTATAGTGTATATATATGATCTGACGTTCTCCATGGTGTTTTGTTACGAGCATTTCCTTGTAATTAAAAATTCTTCAGAAGCTACACTCTATGGAGTGAAAATACATGACATTTGTTTCACTCTTCCCCAAGTTGGGATTTATTTTTCTTTTAAAGATTTTATTTATTTATTCATGATAGAGAGAGAGAGAGAGAGGCAGAGACACAGGCAGGAGAAGCAGGCTCCATGCAGGGAGCTCGATGTGGGACTCGATTCCGGGTCTCCAGGATCATGCCCTGGGCCAAAGGCAGGCGCTAAACCACTGAGCCACCCAGGGATCCCTCCAAATTGGGATCTAGATTGAATTTCAGTGTCTTAAATAAGGCGCATCCTCGTGTACAGCAACGTTAGGCTATCTCTTGAGGCTTATTTCAGGAACTTTCTTGTCTATGGCGTATCATTCTAGGATGCTCTTTTTTTAAAGATTTTATTTATTCATTTGAGAGAGAGAAAGCACACACAAGTAGGGGGAGGGGCAGGGGGAGAAGCAGGCTCCCTGCTGAACAGGGGGGACATGGGGCTCTATCCCAGGACCCCAGGATCATGACCTGAGCTGACGGCAGCTGCTTCACCGACTGAGGCCCCCAGGTGCCCAGGATGCTATTATTAATATCCACAGACAGTAGGACCCTAATGTGGGCTCTGGTGCTTCTGGAGGGGCTTCCCAGGTTGGGGAGGCGGTGGGGATGCCCCCACAGTGGAGAGTCCCCTCAGCCCCGAGACAGCTGCTCTTCTCACTGCCACTGATAACATAACCTTTGTTAGAATTCATAGGATGTTTCATGTCCCTGAGGTCAGCTGAGCCCCCATCAATCCTTCCAAGAAGGTGACAGCCATTATTTTATGGAAGGTCATCCCCATTTTATAGATTATCCTCCCCCTTTTATAGCTTCATTTTATGGATGCAGAAGCTGAGGTTCTCCTCCCACACGTGTGCCCCTGCCCTCCCTTGACACCTGCCTCCCAGAGGCTCACCACTGGGGCTCACCCCCCAGAACCTTGCTCCCCTCCCCAATGCCCTCGACTGTGCAGGAGCCACAGACACACTGCAGAGGCCAGGCAGCAGGATGCTCTTCCGCCCAGGCCCACACAGGCCTCAGCTCCAGGAAGCTGTGGTCACCCGGCATCCAGTTAGTGTCCTCTCCCGGGGCAGGGGTGGGGAGTGGGGGCAGCGTGGGTGCCAGGTGCCAGACAGGCAGTGTCCTGCGTTCCCTGTGAGGTTTCTTTGGGTAACACCAGCATTCAGTGCGTGCGAGAATGAGGAACCGAGGCTGAGTGCGAGTAAGCTCTTCTCTTGCTTCTCCCTGGGCAGGATCGCTACGGTTCTTAAATCCCACATGACAGGACCTATTTCCGGAGAAATTCCTCTTTCCGTGAACCGGTGACCACAGCACAGACTGCAGCGAAGACCAGCAGACTGTTTTGCCTCTTTGTCACGAAGTATATATGCATTGCTGATTTTTAGTATTTCTTTGGAGAAATTCTCGTTTTTGATGTAGTAGAAGCTTTATTGTAAGTTCTGCTGTGCTTTCCTGCCATCACACGCCCCGCTTGGGGCAGAACTGTGCACACGCTTGCTTTATTTTCTTGGGATCTAGTTCCAACAGCCAGGGCTTCTCCGCCTCCCAGGACCGAGCACCTTCCTTGGGTGGGGGGAGGGGGGAGGGGGGCTCCATGCTGCGAGACGGAGGGGCTACAGGCTCCCTCAAGCAGCCGATGCTACAGGGCCTGCAGAGACAACTCACAGCACACGGTTCACCCAAAAGGGAGCAGAGAATAAAAACAAAAGAAAGATTGCTTCACTTCTATTTCCACATATTAAGGTAATTTCAGAATAATGTTTAAAGTCATCCATCTGTCCCTTTGTAAATTGCTTATTTTGTATGATCCATAAATTAAAAGATAATTTTCAGCGAGTGCTTTGAAGAGACCGAAGCTTCTGCATTGCCAAGGGAATTAATCTTTCCACAAGGTGTTGTTTGAATTTATGGGAACTGTGAGGTGAGAACTCCCTGAGTGTCTTTACAAACCAACACACCGTACAGAACTGAAAATGAAGAAGGGAAGAAGATAGACCCACGGAAAAGATTTTAGTATATGGGACAAGAGTAGTTGTAACGGGGTAGTTTTGTTAATATTTTTTATCTTAATCTTGGTTTTCAAAAAATTACAGAATGTGTATAAATGAATAAAGAAAAATCATTTGGCTGTGTTTTAGACAGCATTAGAATATATTGTTCAGCACAGTAAAATATATTTGAAATTTGATGAACCAGAAATGTGGTTTCAACTGAATATTTTGTGAATTTTTCTTAAAAGATCAAATTTGTAGACTAAACATAATAAACCCTTGCAGCAGAGCATGTTGCCTTTTTATTTATTTATTTATTTACTTACTTACTTACTTACTTACTTTCAAATGCTCCCGTAATGAATGGTAAATCAGGGCCTGTGACAGGACATGGTGTCCGTTTGAATCATGACGTAACTGCCGACAGATGTGTTTGTTGGGCGCCCAGTGGGCAGCTGCCACTCACTGAGGTGGTGGGCCCCAGGGTGGCGGCAGGCGGAGTGTCCATGCTGAAAGTCAGGGTGTGCACGACGGTGTCTTCCAAGCCCAGGGGGCTGCGGTGACAGGACAGCACAGTCCCGGGCACCGGAGGCCACAAGTCCCAAGGTCAGGGGGCTGTTGGGGGGTTTCTGGAGAGGAGTCTCCCTCAGGCTTGCAGGAGGCCTCCTACTTGTCCTCACGCAGCCTTTCGTCTCTGATAGGGCCTGGAGGTGTCGAGACTCTTCCTCCTCCTGCAGGACACCAGTCCTCTGGGATCTGGGTCCCACCTTCTGACCTCAATTAACCTTTTTTTAAAAAAAATATTTAGGGATTCCTGGGTGGCGCAGCGGTTTGGCGCCTGCCTTTGGCCCAGGGCGCGATCCTGGAGACCCGGGATCCAGTCCCACATCCGGCTCCGGGTGCATGGAGCCTGCTTCTCCCTCTGCCTGTATCTCTGCATCTCTCTCTCTCTCTCTGTAACTATCATAAATAAATAAAAATTAAAAAAATATTTAGATTCAATTTGCCAGCATATAGTATAACATCCAGTGCTCATCCTGTCACTTAACTTTAATGGCCTTAAAGACCCATCTCCAAACATAGTCATGTTGGGAACTAGGGTTTTGACATATGAATTTTTAGGGGCACACCGTTCAGTCCGTAGCAGTGTAAAAAATTCCCACCCCGGGTTGGCCCTGCTCCAGGCAGGGGCCTGGCTCTGCCGCCTCCAGGAAGCCCTCCGGGGAGGCAACACTCCCATGCGCTGCCCGGGGCGGACTGTGCCCCCAGGCCTGGACTTCCTCACAAGGAAGGGCCTGGGGGGCCCACCCCCAGCCTGGCCGCGCCGCCTTCCGTGGCTTTCCTGTCCCTCGGGTGTGCGTGCGTAGGGCTGCGTGGGCACCGAGGCCTGGGCTTGCGTCCCTGGCCCATTTAGCCTTGGGCCTTGCTGTTTGCTCAGCTTCAGTGTCCCTGTGAGTGCTCCGTCTGCGGTAAGGATATTAGTTAATAATTGTTCTGACAAAACATGTTTGGGATCTTTGCATTAAAAAAGAAAATGGTGCTCCCGGGTCTGGTGGAAACCGGTCCAGACTGGCCGCTGGTTCAGCGGCGCTTTGAAAACGGTGTTTATTGTGCTTTCGTTCGGCAGCAAAGCCGGTAAGGACCAGATGATGTTGCTGAGGAATTGAGAAAGGGGGGGCAGGGCGGGGTTCACATGGCCTTAGGCGGGACCAACGCGCCCTGGAAATGGGCATCTACCTCCCAGCGCAGCAGAGGCCCCGCGCCCCCAGCTCCCCCGCCGGTGGGCCCCGCACCCCCCTGCCCAACTGCCCTTCTTGCCCTTCTTGCCCTTCTCGGTGCTCAGCCTGAAAGCCAGGTGTCAGATGCGCCCCCTCCCCAGGCGCACCCAGAGTCTGATGCGGCAGCCTGGGGTCCGCTGGCCTCATTCACCTGCCCGCACCCACCGGTCCCAGAGCACAAGCCGGGTCCTCGTGCCTGCCCCGCCCCCCCGCCCCCTGCACCCCCTGCTGACCCACTGCACCCCTTTCTCCTGCCCCAGGGCCCAGTCTCCTTCCTGAAGTGCAGTCTTTGAAGTCACCTTCTCCATGACCCTGATCTCCTTTTTTCTTTTTTTTTAAAGATTTTATTTTATTTCAGAGAGAGAGAGGGCGCTAGCAAGCATGAGCGCGGGGCGGGGCCGAGGGAGAAGCAGACTCCCCGCTGAGCAGGGAGCCCCATCCCGGACACTGGGACCCGGACCTGAGCCAGAGGCAGAGGCTCCTCGGATCCCCATCCTGCGCTGCCGCTGCCCTTGCCCAGACCTTGGCCTCCTGGTTGCTCCCTCCTGGCCCGTGTGTGGCCAGCGCCGGGCTCCTTAGCTCCCTGAGAACATGAGCATCCGGGGGGCAGGTGCTGCTCCGTCAGGGTCACTGATCCCCCGGGGCCTAGCTTGGTGCCTGGCACGTATTTTGACTCGGGGAATTGTGTCCTGCCACTCCCTCCCCGCCCCGGGAGGGTGCTGTGCAGGGTGACAGGAGAAGACAGACGCCTCGTACTAGTGTTTTAGGCCATTTCTGCCACCAGCAGCCCCATTCTGGTTGTTCCCACCGCTTTCGCTGCCCACGCCGGGCTCCTGAGGCCCGCAGACAGTCCCATGGGCCCAGCCGCTAAGGTGAGTGGACGAGTGACAACCCCAGGACACATGGTGGACCGTGGCATTGGGGCAAGATGGGGACCGGGCGTGGCACCTGAGGCAACGGTGAGAGGACCCAGCGCAGCGGCTCCCTCCCCAGCCTGGCTGCTCGTGGGATCCACGCACAGAGGCACACATGCGCCCTCCCTTCCGCTCCCGGTCCTTTGTCCTCTGTAGTTCCTATCATTCCGCTTGCCCAGGTCCTTCCTCTCCTAGAACCAGAGCAGCCTGCTGTAGACGGATGGATGGCCGGACAGAGGGATGGCGAGGGAGCAGACACCAGGGACTCTGGCCACACAGGCTGGTTTTGCAAACAGGCGTCCAGGGCCTGATCTCCCTCCCTCCATCCACCCACCCTCCCAGTCCCTCTCCGGGCCTGACCCCACACCCCCGCCCCCAAGCCTGGGTTTTCTGGGGTAGCCCCGGGGGAGTGACCTGGCTGTGCCCCGGGCCCGGTCCTCTCTGCCCTACCGCCTGCACCAGACGTGACCTCAGTCACCTACATCCCCAGTTCCTTCCTGGCACCCACGACTTTCCTGTCACCTGGTTAGCTGCACCCCCGTCTCTACCGCACACCACGGGTGTGGGTGCTGGCGTCCCCGGGGGCGGTGCTTAGGGAAGGCACGGGTTGCCACAGCACCCGGGGCTCAGCCCGACTTTAGGCCAATACTGACAGGCAGTCAAGTCAGGTTCTGGATGTTCTTGTAAAACAACACCCAGGACGCCACTTCCTCGAACCCGATGAATGCAGGCAGCCGCCGCCCTCACGTCCACACCTCACCCCCACACCTCACCCCCCGCCTGGTCCTCCTCGGGTGCCAGTGAGCAGCACCACCCGCCAGCACCTGCCAGCCCCCACCGGCTGCTCAGGCCTCCTGTTGCTGCTCCCACCTTCTACATGCAACCAGCCTGCGGAGCCTACTTCCTGAGGGTCCCCAGCCCCACGGCCTCCACCTGCTGCCTCTGGCCTGGGGGACTCTGCGGGCCTCGGGCCCTGCCCCAGCCCGGCCCCAGCTGCCCAGTCTCTGCAGAGTGGCCTAGTAACATCCGTGGCCCCCGCCTTCCCAGCACGGACCCTCCCTGGCTCGCAGTCCTGTTACTCCACAGCATGGCCCAAGGATCACAGGTCTGGGGCCCCGGGCTCCTCACCGGACTGGGGTGGCCAGGCCCTGGCTCTCCTCCAGGCCTCTCCGCAGTGGCCACCTCTGCCAGGAAGGAACTCCCAGAGCGCGTGACCCAGAGCTGGTCCTGGAGGCGACTGGGACTGAGTGATGCTCTCATCACTTTATCTGCGGACAGGGAGGAGAGCAGAGCCCATGGCAGGAACCAGGGGAAGCGCACACCCCTCCGAGCGGAGTCCCCGGCCCTTGGGGGCTGGAGTGAGGCCCTGGCAGGCAGGCAGGAAGCAGCTGAGGCCCAGGGCGGCCCACGGTCTGCTCAGGTCATGCGTGGGGCTGAGGGGCAGCGCCCGGGGCCTCCCAGGACGATAGGAGCAGCAGCCTCACTCACCCCAGGTGCACACACCTGTGCCACCATCGCGCGGCACCCCTGCAGGCCCCGTGTGTGCAGGCCTGTCCCCTGAACACCGATTCACCGTTCGCCCTCTGTCCTGCTCACTGCTCAGTTGCCCTCAGGCCTTGGAGGCGAGGCTCTTAGAGGCCCATGCACGGCCCCGAGGCCTCCTCTCTGGCGTCAGGTGTCATACGTGTGGGGAGAGAAGCTCCTAGGCTCTCAGCTGGGATGCTGTACAAGTGGAGGAAGTCAGACTGCCCAGAGGAAACCCAACCAAAGTGCACTAGGGTGGGCCTGGGGCACCCACATGACGGGGGCCGAAGAAAAGCAACTCCAAGTAGCCCTTGGGACTGGGCTCCCCAGCACTTTATTTATTTTACAGATTTTATTTATTTATTAATGAGAGACAGAGAGAGAGAGAGAGAGAGAGAGTGGCAGAGACACAGGCAGAGGGAGAAGCAGGCTCCACGCAGGGAGCCAGACGTGGGACTCACATGCCCTGGGCCGAAGGCAGGCGCTAAACCACTGAGCCACCCAGGGATCCCCACTCCCCAGCACCTTAACCAGAGAGTCATGAAGCCCTGGAGAAGTGCAAGGCCAAGGGGAGGGGACTGGGGTTTTCAGGGGCAGCAGAAATGAAAGGTAAATGTCTAGGCAAAACTACAGGAGGAAGGTCGGTTTGTGCAGGTTCCTCTTGGTACCTTCTGTCTCCTTCGTGGGTGTAAACCCCGTCCCGTCCCGAGAGGGGGTTTGTGGCCGGCTGTGTTTCAGGGGTTCCTGCTGGCAGGCTAATAAGGGAAGCTCTGAGGAGGTACTTCCCGCATCTGGTGACAATCCTCATGCAAAGTGGCACCTCTGGTCCCTGCAGGAGGTGCTGCACGTATGGGCTGCGCCCCTGTCTGTGGGCTCTGGGAGAGATCGCCTTCCTGGAAGCTCATGGCAGCGGCGGGACCAAAGTCCCTGCTTTCCTCCTGGCTCCAGCCCGGGGCTGCCCTCCACACCCGGGGCCTCTCCATCCCTGAGCCAGCAGCCGTGGGAATCCCTCTTGCCCTTGCAATCCCTCTGGCTTGTCCTGCAGCCGAGTCTTATCTCCTGCCTCCAGCCAA